TTTGTTTTAGATTCCGTCTCTCACAGTTGATGTGTACCTATGATAAAAAATTACAGACCTCTACATGCTTTGTAAGTAGGAAAACCTGCAAAATCGGCAGTGTATCAAATACTTGTTCTCCCCACTGTATATATGTGTGTGTGTGTGTGTGTATATATATATATATATATATATATATACAGTGGGGGAAAAAAGTATTTAGTCAGCCACCAATTGTGCAAGTTCTCCCACTTAAAAAGATGAGAGAGGCCTGTAATTTTCATCATAGGTACACGTCAACTATGACAGACAAAATGAGAATTTTTTTTCCAGAAAATCACATTGTAGGATTTTTAATGAATTTATTTGCAAATTATGGTGGAAAATAAGTATTTGGTCAATAACAAAAGTTTCTCAATACTTTGTTATATACCCTTTGTTGGCAATGACACAGGTCAAACGTTTTCTGTAAGTCTTCACAAGGTTTTCACACACTGTTGCTGGTATTTTGGCCCATTCCTCCATGCAGATCTCCTCTAGAGCAGTGATGTTTTGGGGCTGTCACTGGGCAACACGGACTTTCAACTCCCTCCAAAGATTTTCTATGGGGTTGAGATCTGGAGACTGGCTAGGCCACTCCAGGACCTTGAAATGCTTCTTACGAAGCCACTCCTTCGTTGCCCGGGCGGTGTGTTTGGGATCATTGTCATGCTGAAAGACCCAGCCACGTTTCATCTTCAATGCCCTTGCTGATGGAAGGAGGTTTTCACTCAAAATTTCACGATACATGGCCCCATTCATTCTTTCCTTTACACGGATCGTCCTGGTCCCTTTGCAGAAAAACAGCCCCAAAGCATGATGTTTCCACCCCCATGCTTCACAGTAGGTATGGTGTTCTTTGGATGCAACTCAGCATTCTTTGTCCTCCAAACAAGACGAGTTGAGTTTTTACCAAAAAGTTCTATTTTGGTTTCATCTGACCATATGACATTCTCCCAATCCTCTTCTGGATCATCCAAATGCACTCTAGCAAACTTCAGACGGGCCTGGACATGTACTTGCTTAAGCAGGGGGACACGTCTTGCACTGCAGGATTTGAGTCCCTGGCGGCGTAGTGTGTTACTGATGGTAGGCTTTGTTACTTTGGTCCCAGCTCTCTGCAGGTCATTCACTAGGTCCCCCCGTGTGGTTCTGGGATTTTTGCTCACCGTTCTTGTGATCATTTTGACCCCACAGGGTGAGATCTTGCGTGGAGCCCCAGATCGAGGGAGATTATCAGTGGTCTTGTATGTCTTCCATTTCCTAAAAATTGCTCCCACAGTTGATTTCTTCAAACCAAGCTGCTTACCTATTGCAGATTCAGTCTTCCCAGCCTGGTGCAGGTCTACAATTTTGTTTCTGGTGTCCTTTGTCAGCTCTTTGGTCTTGGCCATAGTGGAGTTTGGAGTGTGACTGTTTGAGGTTGTGGACAGGTCTTTTATACTGATAACAAGTTCAAACAGGTGCCATTAATACAGGTAACGAGTGGAGGACAGAGGAGCCTCTTAAAGAAGAAGTTACAGGTCTGTGAGAGCCAGAAATCTTGCTTGTTTGTAGGTGACCAAATACTTATTTTCCACCATAATTTGCAAATAAATTCATTAAAAATCCTACAATGTGATTTTCTGGATTTTTTTTTCTAAATTTGTCTGTCATTGTTGACGTGTACCTATGATGAAACTTACAGGCCTCTCTCATCTTTTTAAGTGGGAGAACTTGCACAATTGGTGGCTGACTAAATACTTTTTTTCCCCACTGTATACACATACACACACACACACACAGTATATTTATATTCTGGACTCTGACATTGTTCGTTTTGATATTTCTTAATTTCAAAAAAATTTGGATTTGTGTGTATTGTTTTGAATTGTTAGGTATACTGCACTGTTAGGAACATAAGCATTTCGCTGCACCTGCGTTAACATCTGCAAAATATGTGTATGTGACCAATACATATATTTAAAAAAAATTAAACAGACCATTCACATTTTATTTATTTATTGCATTGATTTTATTTTATAGCATTGCTTCATGTCACACCCTGGCTCTGGGACTCTATATGTTGAGCCAGGGTGTGTGCATTCTATGTGTTCATTTTCTATGTTGGGTGTTCTAGGTTGTCTATGTCTATGTTTGCATGTGTGACTCCCAATCAGAGGCAACGAGTGTCAGCTGTCGGCTGGTTGTCTCTGATTGGGAGCCATATTTAAACTGTGTGTTTTCTCTTGGGTGTTGTGGGTTTTTGTTCCGTGTCGGTATGTTAACCGTTGGACTTCACGAGTCGTGTTTTGTTTGTATTTACAAACTTTAATTAAATAAAGTCATGTTTCTTTCACACGCTGCGCCTTGGTCTACTACTCCTTACCCAGACGATCGTGACAGAAAAACCCACCATACCAGGACCAAGCAGCGTGTCCAGGAACAGGCAACCTGGACGTGGGAGCAGCGTCGGAGGGTCGAGAGGCAACCCCAAGAAATTTTTAGGGGGGGGCACACGGCATGGACGAAGGGGCTGACGGAGGCAAAGATGGGGCGAATCCAGGAGGCCACCAGGCCAGGGGTACACCGCCCTGTACGTCCTGTGCGGATGCCTCACACAGAGTGTGTGAGGGTAGGCATTCAGCCAGGACGGGTGGTGGCCGCTCTTCACTCCAGGTCTCCTATCCGTCTCCACAGCCCGGTTCGGCCTGTCCCTGCTCCACGCACCAAGCCTACGGGGTGCGTCGCCAGCCCGGCCTGTCCCTGCTCCACGCACCAAGCCTACGGTGTGCGTCGTCAGCCTGGTCCAGCCCGTTCCTGCCACTCGCACCAAGCCAGGGGTGCGAGTCGTCAGCCTGGTTCAGCCCGTTCCTGCTACTCGCACCAAGCCCGGGGGGCGAGTCGTCAGCCTGGTAAGACCGGTCAGCTGCTCCACAACGGAGCGTAAGCAATCCGCTCCGTCAATGTCCAGTCCAGATCCAGCCAGCGGGGTCAGACCGGACCAGGGGCGCTACGGGGGAATTATGGAGGGGTGGTGGTCAAGGCCGGAGCCGGAGCCGCCTCCGAGGAGGAATGCCCACCCAGCCCTCCCCTGTTTGGGGTTTTGTTGAGGCGCGGTCGCAGTCCGCGCCTTTAGGGGGGGGGTACTGTCACACCCTGGCTCTGGGACTCTATATGTTGAGCCAGGGTGTGTGCATTCTATGTGTTAATTTTCTATGTTGGGTGTTCTAGGTTGTCTATGTCTATGTTTGCATGTGTGACTCCCAATCAGAGGCAACGAGTGTCAGCTGTCGGCTGGTTGTCTCTGATTGGGAGCCATATTTAAACTGTGTGTTTTCTCTTGGGTGTTGTGGGTTTTTGTTCCGTGTCGGTATGTTAACCGTTGGACTTCACGAGTCGTGTTTTGTTTGTATTTAGAAACTTTAATTAAATAAAGTCATGTTTCTTTCACACGCTGCGCCTTGGTCTACTACTCCTTACCCAGACGATCGTGACACTTCAAAGATGACTTTTATTACATTGTTACTTATTCATGATATTCTAACCCTAATCGCTCTGGATAAGAGCGTCTGCTAAATTACTAAAATGTAAATGTTGTATAGTAATCTGTGAGGATACAACTACACTAAAAATATACAGTATCGGAGGAGGGTATTGAAACACAGTGCCAGTGTGTCAGAAATCTAGTCCACCCAGTTCCAGTACACATGCTCATCACAGGACCAGTGCCATTCCTCTAGACGAGAGTTAGATGACTGACAGTGTTAAGCTGACAGCCTGGCTGAGCCTGCTGTATACAACTCCTAGGTTATAGGCTAGGTAGAGAGATGTATTAGTTGCCTGCCTGCTGAATGGATCACCACCCTGTTCCAATGAGCTGTAATCATCCCTGGTGTGTGCTTAAGCTAATACCAGCAGCCCTCACAAAAGCCTGAAGGAAATATAATTTATTATGGTGGTGTGCAACGTTTGTTGGAAATTCAAATAACTTATCTTTCTGGAATAATTCAGAGAGTGTGGATATTATTAATGAAAACATGTTGGTCTGAGTGACATTTCAAATGGTGATCAGTGCTGGGAGCTGGATAGGTCTTTCAGCGGTGTGTCAGAGAGGGAGGGGAAAGGCTTGTGCAGGTGGGCAGAGTCTCCTGTCCTCTTCTATCCTCTCCTTCAATGTCTTACAACTGGGCACAGACATCAGTTCAATGTCTAGTTTTAATTTACTTATGGTTGAGTTGTCAACTAACGTGAATTCAAATTCAAAATCAACCAAAAATGTCACCATGTCATGGAAGACTGAATTACTTTTTTTCAAATCTAATCAGTTTTTCACGTTGATTCAACGTCATCACATAGATTTTGGGGGATTGAAATGATGTGGAAACAACGTTGATTCACCAATTTGTGCCCAGCGAGTGACCTTCTCTTTGATCTCCTACTAATGCCTTTAAATCCCTTCAAACATCATGAATGCCTTTAAATCATCATACTTATACTGTGTGATACTTGATGTGCGTTAGTTGGTTATCATAGTCTTCAAGACTCAGTATCATATCACCCTCCCCGTCCCTGAGTCATCTCCCTTTCCTGTCCCTGAACAAATGTCAGTCTAATCCATCCAGATCTCAGCACACTTAATCCACTCTCTCATTGTGCTTTAGCAATGGAGGGCTTCTGGCCCAGACTGGCTGCAGATGGCTGTGGTGGCTGTTTTTAATATTGGATGAATCTTAGATATCTCCACAGGGTCTGGAAAATATGAAGCACATTCTGCTATCAGTAATTACCTCCCTCTTTCCCTCAATCTCACATTCTCAAACTTTGGCAGTGGTTCTCCCTCATGTACTCATGGAGTTGTTTAGTTCCTGGGCTGGGCCGGACCACTTGTTCCCTATAAGTGGGGATATTTCCTCAAAATTGCCTGCTAACAATTGTTTGTTGTGGTCTTTCTTATGTTCGCTGTGAGTTTCTCATGTTATTGTTTTCCCCTTCTGTTGTAGCGGGATGCTAAAGGACAGTATCTGTTCGACCTCATCTGCCACCACCTGAATCTGCTGGAGAAGGACTACTTTGGCATCAGATATGTGGACCCAGACAAGCAGCGGGTGAGTGTGTGTGTGTGTGTGTGTGTGTGTCTGTGTTGGATAAAGCATACTGCAGTAGAGGTGACAGTTCAAAGAGATACAGGGCCAGATTTAAGATTTATGTTATTATATTTATTTCATAACACACGCTTTTAGAGAGACACTCATACAATCATCCTCATCAGCAGCAGCAGAGGACAGAGGGTTATTACTTTCTCTCAGAGATGGCTTGTAGCTGCACTGCTTGATTCATAAAGAATTAACATGTGCTCAGAGTGTGTGTTTTAGCCACAGAGACAAGACAAGTCCTGCTGATCCTGCATTTCCTATGCTGCCACTCAGGGCTATTTCAGTAGTTGTTGTTGTAGTGAGGGGTTGGCGTAGAGAGGGAATTGATGGAGTGAATGTTCCCAGAAGGACGGGGGATGAATCAGGGCCTGATATACTGGCAAAACCAGAGTTACCTTCAGAAATGAGCCTAGAGAGCACTGCCACAGCACAGTGCCTGCCTGTCTGCCTGCCTGCCTGCCTGCCTGTCTGCCTGTCTGCCTGCCTGTCTGCCTGTCTGCCTGTCTAGGCAGGCCCAGGCATACTGGTGGTGTAGTATTATAATTTGAAAGACCATCCATTACTGTCATTTATAGAGAGAGCGGTTATCTCTGTATGCCCTTACTGTTCAATTTGCTTCAGTATGATGATGATGATTTAATTATACAAATCAGGAACTAATAGCATGAATTATGATTCTTGTCAGATTAGAGATGGATGTTGGATCTGAACAGAGAGATGTCAGTGTGTTTTAGGCGTGAAGCTGACATGACATAACACAGGCTTTCACATGTCTTTCAGTGAACTGTCATTCCTGTCTATTGCATTTAACCTGCTTCGTAGAGCGATGTAGAGTGATATGAGATTGGTTTCAGCGTTGTAGCAGGATTTTCAGACATGTTTCACTTTTGTCACACTTTGATCATATGTCTTTTTGTTGTTGATGCAGCATTGGTTGGAGGTCACAAAGTGTATTGCCAAGCAGATGAAATGTAAGTATTTAGTGTCTTCCTCTTCACGCTATGATCATTCTGCTAATTGAGCAATTATAGTTATCATCACCATGGCATCTCTAATGATGCATAATCTAATTTGACTAATGAATGTGCATTTGAATACAAATGGTAGGAAGTTACTGTATTAGGATTTCAATAGATCAAGATTCTCCATTTGACAGTAAGGACAGAACTGTATGAACCTCATGAAAACTCACATAAATCCTAGCAGAAGATAATCCACACAAAAAGTCTCTCACCCACTCTCTTGTCTTTGCAAATCATCATGAACTGTGTCTCCCTAATTGTGGATACAGAGCTTAAAGGGAAAATCCAGTCAACATCTATCTATTTTTTTATTTTATTTTCATTAGTCCACTGTTGATATAGTCCCAACATGTTTTTCATGTCAACAGTCAAGTTTTCAAGATATTGTACTTTCAAGAAGCAAAGTGTCATCGGCCACATCATCATGATGATGCAAAATGATTTTCCCTTTAAGTGAGATTCCATTAGCCTAATCTACTGTATACTGTGTGATGATATGAAGTAAAGATCGAAGCAAATTTTCATTTGTCAGTGCCCCCTTCACAGATTGCTTAATTCATGGGTGTTGTTTAAATTGACTAGCCATTTTAAATTCTAACTCCATAGTGTCTGAATCAAACACAGGTCAGGTTAGCACTATGCTAGACACTTTTGCAAGGTGGTGCATTTAGAGCATTTTTTCAGTTAATCATTTGAACTGTGACCATGAAATGTTCCTGACTATTTGGTTCTCCATTGCCTTTGTTCCCCAGCCCAGCCGCCGTTCACCATGTGTCTCAGAGTCAAGTTTTACCCCCCTGACCCCGCTGCTCTCAAAGAGGAAATCACCAGGTAGGACTTTGGGATTCTCAGCAAAGTAGAGAAATGCCAACAAGCACTCCCCTCTGGGCTCCTCTAGTATACAGAGGAAGTCAGGGAAAGCAGACATGAAAGCTTTGTGTATAAAAATCTCCAATAACTTTTGCCTTTTCAAAAGCAGTTTCAAAGCAGCCTCTGTTGTTATCACTTTCTTTCACACTTTTCTTTTTCTCCAGAAATGTTTGCGTGCTGAATGCACAGACAGTATTTTTTTCCAGACATTATTGAAGGGCCTCCATAATAAAAGATTTCAGAGCACGTTGTGTCTAAAAACAGTGCAATAAATATTAAAAAAAGACAGTGTTGTTTGAAGTTGAGATGTATGTAAAAAGCCTAAGTAAGCTGGCTAGCGAGCCTGCTCTCTGAAGTAGAATGGCTGCTAAATTGCAAGGCTCTGTAGCGGTGTTCTGCGTTGGTCTCTTTGGCTGGCTGACTTCTGAGGGAAGGAGGAGGACTGAGGGTCAATGACGGCTAGCAGACTCCTCTAAATGATACATGATTAGCTTCCAGCTAGCTCAGATTTGAATCACTTATGCACATTTCTTGGCCTGACTCTCATCCCCTGTGCAGTCTGCAATGAGGTCACCCAGAAAAGCCTCTCTGTGCCCTCAATAGGGCCTCTGATACACTCTGATTTCTACCACCTGATGATGACATTAAAGAAGCAAGTACATATGCAATTGAGTATGAGTGTGTTTGCTTATGTCTGTTACAATGTGTGTATGTGTTGAAAGGAGGCACACACACCTAGCCTGTTTGTATCAGGTGTTTGACATCTCATATTCTTTACCGTCCAGGGAGTCTACACTTAGGTGTGATGAAATGAATGCAGAGTGCAGATAATGAATTGTGTGAATTATGAATGGATGGGGAGGAGGGGAGAAGGAGAGTGAAGGCTGAGGAAAAGAGAAATCTAGAGAGTGAGAGATATGATGAGAGTGGTAGGGCAGGATAGACCACCTCATACCAGAGAGAGGAAGGTTAAAGGAGAGTAAATAATCAATGACACAGAAGTTTTCTTCAATATAGTTTCCTCATGAATCAAATACTGAACGGATACTGTAGAATATTATGGCACAATGGCTAGACCAGGGAAGAGGATAGAGATGGGTCAAATATTCATTTAAATTCACAGCTGTCCTTCACCAAATCTACCGACAGCAGAGATGGCAAAGGCAAGCAGATGAAAAGAGAAAAGAAATGTAGGGCAGACGATTGAAGCATACAGCATCAGCCATTTAACTGGAGTCACCCAAAGAGAGAATGGGAAATTGCTTTTTTAACACCTATGGCTCCTTAAGTGACATACTTTTAGCTGTTGTGGAGCTGGCCTAGATGGCAAAATTACAGCCGAGGATACGTATATTCTTAGTATTCACATGCATGGGTTCTCCTGGGTTCATTTTGGTGTTGGTTGTGGGAAGTTGGTGTCAGGGGAATCTGGGGTCCGTTGGGTCGTTTCTCCCACTGTTTCTATCGCGTGTTACATTCACTTTCAGAATCAATAAATGGGCAATCCTGTACAGTAACCATTGGTAACACATGCATTGTTCCAGGTGTTAGTCTGTCTGCAGCCAGTGTAGCTGCTGTATCTGTCAGGCAGTGCTGCTGCGTTCTGGGATGCTCTGGTCTTGTCTGGATTCTAATCTGGAGGCTTGAACAGAAACACAGTCAGTCAACAATAGCAGCAGTTTGCCTCAGGGCATCCCCTACCAAACCCTGTCCCCAACACTCATATTCAAAGAAACATTTTTTACATTCTTTTGAGATTTATCTGTGGCGATGTCTTGCCATGATATTTTTTGCAGTAGATCTAAAAATAAGTGTGGCCTGTAATATTGATGAATCTCATTAAAGTAGACGGTGACTGAGATCCATGACCTCTGACCTTCTTCCCCCACTCTGTTCTGGTCCCAGATATTTAGTCTTCCTGCAGATCAAGAGAGATCTGTATCACGGCCGCCTCCTGTGTAAGACGACGGATGCTGCCATGCTGGCTGCCTTCATCCTGCAAGGTACAGTGACAGGACCTGACAGGCTGGATTTGCCTGCCCCACTCTCTGCACTTTCACATGACTTCTTCTCTGCCAGTCACCCCACCATAGAGATGAATACCAGCCGGGGAAAAAACACCTGGATTTCTTATAAGGATGTAGTTATCAGTTTGTAACGCAAATTATATGCCCTGAGGGATTCTTAGCTCCGTATTGACTGATCTCTACTGTATACTAAAAAGCATCAAATTAAAATGTTCATGCAGACAACACGTGCATCTCCATACTAATTTACACTGTAAAACCATAGCTGACAAAGAAAGATGGGACAGCTGATCAATGCTTTGAATGCATAATCATGTGGATGTCATGCTAGATTGTAAGGCCCTCTGCATGATTATCAGGCATCTTGCTCTCAGCAGTATCGTTAGCTATATAAGTATGGAGCTCACACGCAGTAGACCCTCGAGAGGCAGGCAGGCAGGCTGTATGTTTGAGGGGTACGGCGAGCGAGCCAAAGGCCGCAGAAAGTGCAGTGTTAGGAGGAAGAGAAGGCAGGTCCCTTGGCAGGCGCACTGGCTCTGTTCAGGAGGAGGGGCTGCCTGGTCACCTCCTCGTCCTCGCTCGCTGGGGGAAATAATTGTCAGAGGGAGCTCAGTGTGGCATGAAGTCACAAATAAACAATAGCAACTCTGGGCCAGTTTAACCTGTCATCATTAAGAGCTCTGCTGACATACAGCACAGGCTGCCTGTGAACCAACAACACCTCGGGCCAGGGTGCCAGTAGTGTGTGTGTGTAGAACTGTGTAAATACTCACCTTAGCCCTAATAATTATTGTTTAACAGTTCACACTTCATCTGAAGTTATTTATTTACTGCAAACTGAGATTCTGTATCCACTTTTTAAAAATGATTTATTGTATGGAATGATGTTGTGGATGTCAGATATATTACTGAATGTACTGTATGTAACCATGTATGGTTTGACTGTGGTGCTGTGAAATGGTAGATCATTTTTATTAACTGTGTTCCAGCTGAGATTGGGGACTATGACCCTGGGAAGCATCCTGAAGGATACAGTTCTAAATTCCAGTTCTTCCCAAAACATTCAGAGAAGCTGGAGCGACGAATCTCAGACATACACAAGACAGAACTGATGTAAGGACCAATCTACTTTTTCTCTCTAACCTCTCACATATGCGTGCATGTTTATGCACACACACTGCACCTATAAGATTAATCAATTTGACTGAGAAAGCACTTACTACCATTGTGCGATTGCTTATTGTCTAGGAAACTAGTTCCTTCACCCTCTTCTCAAACATTTGTTTAATCAATTGGAAAACCTTCTAATACCTGCAACTAGCAGAAACAGCCAGGTAGACTGCCTAATGGCCCGCTGTCATTTCAGGGTGTTGTAGAGAGCAGAGGCAAGATGGTGGGATTTTCTTGAGTGCAAAAACGACCTTTCATTAGTACAGTCATGATTATGAGGGTCTGGCAGGGAGTGCAGTGCAATACACCTAATGAAGTGAGATAGGGTAGTGTGTGCACATACAAACACGCAAACGCACACACACACACACACACTCAAACACACTACTTTCTCTGCCAGCAGGTTAGCTGATGAAGCATCACTGAGGGTTTCTTAATGATGATACACCCCACTGGGCACAAACTGGTTAAATCATCGGTGTTTCAACGTAATTTGTCAACGTATTGTGACATGGAATCTATGTGGAACATTTTTTGGATTTGAAAAAAGTAATCAGCGTAAATTGTTGTTTTGTGGGTGAAATTTCAACCACAGGCTTATGTAATCATGGTAACTAATTTTCAACGTAGACAAAACTTGTATAAAATATGTTGCATTTTTACCTTTGAAACAACGTCTGATTTTCAACATAATATCCACTGTAAGGAGAAAAAAACAATAGGCTGGGCAGCACCTCCTACTGGAGAGTAGATCTATCTACAGCTATCCCTTCGGTCTCCCATCCAGGGTTTTAGCCCTTGCTTAGCTTTATTTGTCACTGACTATTGCCAATGTGCTATCCTGAGAATGATTGTTGAGAAATCTCCACTTAATAGATTCACTGTTTCTATCGAAGTCATTCCAAAGGGTATGTTCAATAGAGCAAATGAAATGTAACCATACTTTATCAATCATACAGTATATCATCAATGATGCTATTTAAGCCTATATAGCAGTTGGGAAATCATCAATAGCTGATGTTTAAATTCAGCCCAGGATTCAACAAAAAATAGACAATACATATAGGCCTAGGGTTTCAAACTTTGATTTCAAATGGAATCTTCAAGTCAATAATAAATATGTTCGATTCACATTTCCATCTTAACCAAAAATAAAAGTTAAAGAATAGGATCAAATCAAACTGTATTTAAAGTGCATTTAAAGTTTGATTTTATTTAGTCCTATACTTTAACTTAAGATTTTTGGTTAAAATCTTGTCGACAAGTTAACAAATTATCTGTTGGATTCACGTCTCCATCGCAACCAAAAATAAAAGTTAAAGAATAGGATTAAGCCAGTGGCTCAGATGAAACTATCCAAGCAGTAGATACATCTCCTTTAAATGTTGATATTTGGTTGTGTTGTCAACCAAACACAATTCAATATTACTTGTGTAATACAGTAAATAGCCTAAAGTTAAGGCTATCTTACAAACTAATGTAACAGTATTTGTTCAACCTTAAAATGAGTAACACATCCATGGTTACTGTAACAATAAATGTCTTCTTATGTAATCATAGAAAGCGTGCATGTTCAGGGTTGCAGGTATGTTGAAATCTTCACAATTGCTAAAATTATCTGCACAGAATCTCAAATGGCATTGATCATTTGCACCATGTCCTTTAATGTAATCTCAACTAACTGCAATTCAGGTTATTTGGTTGTGCTATTAGATCAAGCACAGTGATAGCACATTAAGTTGTTATATAAATAAACAAAATATCTGACGTATTCCCATTTTGAACATTGGTGTGCTTTTAAATGGTTGAAAGCTCAGTGATAACAGAATTCAACAGACTTTTGGCTCTTTTTGAGTGGGTAAAAATAGGTTGGAATCTCATTGATCAACGTATCTACCAAATATTACCCAATTCTCCACATTGAAATGACATGGTGTGCCCAGTGGGACAGGCTGTGACAGACACTTCTCAACATTGATCCTTCACACTCACCCTCAGGCCTCTAAAGGTCATGTGATTGAGGCCACATGGATAATGGTTTAGCCATAATGTCTGAGCTATTTATCTTCCCACAAGGCACTTCTTTGTTTAAACCATAATTAGTGTGAGATAATGTGCTCTACAGAAATTAAAGACATTGAAACATGGATCAGCCATTTTCACATTAGCTCAGAGGTGATTTGAAGGTTCTTTAATGTTGGTTGCCATTACGGAGTGCTTTGTCTAGTGACCCAGCTCAGTGAACTGGTCATGGCCATGGGACATACTGTATACTGTGGACAGCATGGAGGATGTGACTGACCAAAGGAGTGTAGTCAGAGGTTCATAGATAAAGGAGCTGTAAAATGATCATTATAGATAAGATCCTCTGCTGCCCTCTAGTGGGTTGTTCACGTCTCACCACCAACATAACACCTGTCAACACGCCTAGCTGTGTGATCATGGAAAATATCCTTGGATCTTTTGAATGCACCAGTAATTCAAGCCTATAGTGTCAGAGGCATCTCTTCATGTTTTTTCCATTGATTGTGATGGAGGTCAGGCTGATGCTCACGTTACTCCATTGCTATTGAATGTTGAATGGTTGGTGCTTGATTAAATGTTCATTGGTAAAGGTACTGTATCTAGGATGGTTGATACACTATCTGTCTGTCTGGCCATCTATTCAGATCTCTCTGGTCTATTCAGCATCCTGCCAGCTCACTCTGGTGATCACTCCTCTGTGTAAGGGAAAGAGTTTTGTCTCAGTTAATATTATTTATGCATTTTACCTTTGCTTCTTTCTTTTCATAGACCTGTATTGATGTTAAGTATCTTAATCATACATTGATGCCAAATGTATTGATGCTCTCTCTCAGTGGCCAGACACCTGAAACATCGGAGCTGAATTTTCTCCAGAAAGCCCAGATGCTGGAGACATATGGTGTGGATCCTCATCCATGCAAGGTTGGGGTGGCCAATTCTCACACACTGCTGCTTCAGTTTAAGACATTTGCATTTAAACACCCTATTTTCCTCTACCTCAGCTTTGTGTATTTGATACAGGTATTATAGTAGGCTTATTGTGTTGTGCCATAACAATGTGAGACACTGTTTTTTGTGTATGACAGGATGTGTCTGGAAATCCAGCCTTTCTTGCCTTCACCCCGTTTGGATTTGTCGTGCTTCAGGGAAACAAGAGGGTTCATTTTCTTAAGTGGTGAGTAGAATGATTTCTGCTCTAACCCTAAACCACATACCACTGCTGGTTCTACATTCACAATCAACAGAGTGTGTCCAGCGGCCTCTCTCCTCCTGACCAGAGGGCTAGCATGCATACAGGTGTCCCATTATCTTAGCTAGTCACTACCATTCTAGGCATATGATTCCACAGGCCTGTCTGTTAGAAATCAACTTGTTTACAGATTGAATGCATAAGAAAAGTACATGTTCTCAATCACAACAAAGAATTGATCATGCATGCAGCAGTGGCTGTAAGAATCCTCAAAGACATACATGGATCAGTGCTGCTGTAACATACTATTCAATACAGCCCCTCTCATTAAGCCAGTAGCCCACTATATTGGGTCTGTAATAGTTAAATATGAGTTAGATATTCACTCCTGATATAGAAATCCCACCACCCAATTCAGTACAATATGTCTGTAATACTTACAAAGTAGACAATGTGGATGTTACAATATGTTACAGTATTTACAGCTGATTTGTTAGTTTTATTTTACCTTCTGCACATTCTCCCATCCCATGCCTCCAGTTTACCTGGCCTATTATCAGATATGTGTTCTGTTAACCAAACATGGAGCTCCATTGCTGTTTGTGTGATCTGCTAGTGGTTGTGATGAATTTTTAAAGAGCTTGTGGCTCTCAGTGCAGTTGGTTGTGTGTGTAACTATCCCCTTCCTTGTGGGCAGGAACGAGGTGACCAAACTGAAGTTCGAGGGAAAGATATTCCATATATATGCAAATCAGAAGGAGGTGAGAGCATGAATTATTGATGTGTTGGGGGAGTCAAGCATAGAGAGCAGTGCAGCGACTGTGACTGTTCTATGGACAACAGGGCCTGGAGATACCATGTTCTAGTCATACCACAGCCCAGTGTGTTCAATAAACAGCAGTAGTAATAGTAATGACTCTTGACTCTTGAAACTGAGAAACTGTCAGGTTGTTTTATTTTCCTGCACATTTATTTCTAATGTGCAGGACAAAAAGATAATATTGACGTACTTTGCACCAACACCTGAGGCCTGCAAGCACCTGTGGAAATGTGGAGTGGAGAACCAAGCCTTCTACAAGTAAGTGTTGTTCTTCCTCTATCCAGGCTCTGTCGCAGCCGGCCGCGACCGGGAGACTCATGGGCGGCGCACAATTGGCCCAGCGTCGTCCAGGGTAGGGGAGGGAATGGCCGGCAGGGATGTAGCTCAGTTGATAGAGCATGGCGTTTGCAACGCCAGGGTTGTGGGTTCGATTCCCATGGGGGGCCAGTATTTAAAAAAATAAACTGTAAGTCGCTCTGGATAAGAGCGTCTGCTAAATGACAAAAATGTAGATGTAAATGTAAGTCATAGCTATACACTTTACTCCAGTGCATCTGTGAGAGTTATCTAAAGGGGTCTCTCCTCTCCTCTCACCTTGAAGTGTCCTGAGAGCAGCGTTGACAGGCTGTATCTCAGATAGGGAACAAGACGTGTGGCAACGGTGACCTTTTTTGAGTTAGTGTGCACTGGGACACGCCATTGAACACTCCACAGCTCCTCCAGAGAAATCAGTGCTCCTTCCGTCTCAGCCATGATTGATTGTGTGTGTGTGTCCCCCCCCCTCCCACCTCTGGGAGGTGTTAAACGATCCCCACCCCCTGCAACACATCAACACAATGACCGGAGAGAGTCTAGTAATGGATGAGGGTGACAGCAAAGGTTGCTGAGGAGCATGTGTGTTGAGCGAGTGCTCAGGTGAGACCGAGAAAGGGGGAGGGAGGAGGGGGGAGGGAAAGGGCAAACGTAGGGCAGCAAACAGCACACACAGAGATGGAATTAGTATGATGAGATATCTGGCTATAGGGCTGTAGATCTTAGTAGGGACTGGTGGATTTTCAGGGACGCCTGGCTGATTGGCCCAAAGCTTTATACTGCTGTAATGATAGACATCTGTCTGTGTGTGCTAAATCCCACAGAAACAGACTGATGGATAAATACACACCAAGCCAAGGCTCGTGCAAGGCTACTTACTTACATACTGCATGCACACCTCTCCCAGGATCTAGTGTGTTGGTTTTCAGTCCAAGCTGTGCTTAGAGAACCACACACTGTGGATACCATATAAGAGGGCAGGGATAAAGTAGCCCATTGTATGTACTGAAAGTGAGAACAGCAAAGTGAGAACTGGTTGTGATGCTGTAGGAGGGAGAAGAGGACCAGTCCACATACTCCCTTAACCTTTTACTGCAGTGGGCTAAATCAGGGTCACACGGAGTGTTTCTTGGTAGTCTTAAACAAATCTACTTTGAAACCAAAGTATACACCTCACACACATGGTTAAGGGCTTTAAAAATATATATAGAGTTTAAATATATTCAATTTTGAGTTTGCATCCCAATATTACACTTTATATACAGTGCATTCGGAAAGTATTCAGACCCCTTGACTTTTTCCACATTTTGTTATGTTACAACCTTATTCTAAAATTGATACAATTGTTCCCCCCCCTCATCAATCAACACACAATACCCCTTAATGACAAAGCAAAAATAGGTTTTTAGACATTTTTGCAGATTTATAAAAAATAAAAAACAGAAAGACCTTATTTACATAAGTATTCAGACCCTTTACTCAGTACTTTGTTGAAGCACCTTTGACAGCGATTACAGCCTTGAGTCTTCTTGGGTATGACGCTACATGCTTGGCACACGTGTATTTGGGGAGTTGCTCTCATTCCTCTCTGCAGATCCTCTCAAGCTCTGTCATGTTGGATTGGGAGTGTTGCTGCAGAAACATCTCAAGGATGATCAATGGAAACAGGATGCACCTGAGCTCAATTTCGAGTCTAATTGCAAAGGGTCTGAATACTTATGTAAATAAGGTATTTCTGTTTTCGCTTTGGCATTATGGTGTATTGTGTGTAGATTGCTGAGGATTTTTATTTATTTAATCAATTTTAGAATAAGGCTGTAACGTAACAAAATTTGGAAAAAGTCAAGGGGTATGAATACTTTCCGAAGGCACTGTACATCACAGAAGACTGAAATATAACAAAACCGTTTGACATAAAAACACCAGATTTTTGGCAGTAAAAAAAAAGAAATGTTTATTGATTATGAAATTATAAAAGATATAACATTCCACTCATGAGGCCACTAGTAATTTGACTGCAGGAAAGGGCTATTACGTAAAGAAAAGTGTTAAAAGTATTATGTCATCCCAAAACAGCTCCCAGAGTTCACCCCTCTTCTCTCTCCTGGTTTTTTTCTCCACCTCTCTTCCCCTCCATCAGGCTGGAGAAGTCGAGTCAGGTACGGACAGTGTCCAGCAGCAACCTGTTCTTCAAGGGGAGTCGTTTCCGCTACAGGTACAGTAAATGATGACAGTGAGTAAAGGGCACTGCAGATAGCCCACAGCTATGCTGGAGAGCTTCTCCCTAAGGAGGGGACCTCAGGGCCCTGCTGTAACGTCAGCCTTCTTTACCTGAGCAATACACCTCACACACTAGGCTAGAGGACACGGAGGGGGACAGTGTTTTAGTTGCGTTCAGAACAATGTTCCAACATTAATTTAAAATTACTGGTTCTAGTTACTGGAAATCTGAACTTTCTAATGGTTTCAAACGATTACAGGTGAGTCCAGTATGTTATGATGAAAGGTTGAGTTTGTTTCAACCTCTGGTATTTATTTTTGACATTGCAGTGTTGACTGGAGACGGTGATTGGGTTAGAGGGAGTTGGGTTCACCATGTTAATCTAATCTCAGTTCTCATGTACTGTACTGATGCTTCTCACTGAACTACTCTCAGTGTAATGTGTGGTACCAGGGAGTCTGGGGTCTGATGTGAGTGTGTAAGCCTGAGCTCTATTATTGTGCTTTATTGTAGTGGACGAGTTGCGAAAGAAGTGATGGAGCAGAGTGCCAAAATCAAACGAGAGCCTCCAGAAATACACAGGTAAAATCAATGCTATTCACTAGATGTCATTGTGGACAGTGTATAATCTCAGATTACAAATATGGAATGTTTGTGTGTGTGTGTGTGTATGTGTGCTTCTGTATGTGCGTGCTTGTGTGTGTGTGTGTGTGTACATGTGCATGTTCTGTGTCTCCACAGGGCTGGCCTGGTTCCCAGTAGAAGCTGTCCGTCCATCACTCACGGCCCGCGCCTCACCAGTGTTCCACGCACCCGCCGGAGAGCCGTCCACATATCCATCATGGAGGGTAAGCGTTGGACCTGACCCCTGACCCACTACTCCCCTCAGTCAACACTGGCGTTCCATAACAATCCATAACAATCCCCCCAGTCATGTTATGGGCAAAGGTGAATCATTGTCCAATAAGAGCCTTCAGGAATGTGGACAGGAGTGACACAGCTCTATATCGTTGTCTGTATTCAAATGAACACATGCACGGTAATCTGGATAGTTGTGGAAATGGGTCGCCATGCTTTAGTTTGGGTCTGAGGTTTTAAAGGTAATCTGTGGATAATTCAATGGAGGGTGTTAAATCCAAACCGTTTTAAATGGATCAGGTCCTTGCTCCTATTTGGAAATATTTTATGCCCCCCCTCCCCAGAACACACACACACATACACACACTATAACCTGAGTTTAGCCATGCCCCTGCTTGTGGGAGTGGAGGGCTCAGTCACAGGTGTGTGTGTCACTCAGGCTGCTTTATTTCAGTGCGAGCTATCAGCACTGGGGGTGTGTGTGTGAGAGGGGTACAGTGCCAGTACAAGGGCAGCTGGTGCAGCCGTCAGTCAGTCCACCTGCCCTGAACCCTGAACCCTGGGGCCTGAACCCTGAACCCTGGGGCCTGGGCCTGCAGGTGGGCCTGCCCTGCTCCTCCACTCTCACACTGTGTTCTGACCTGCCTCTGTCCTCTGTCCCTGAGGCTAACTTTGCAGGCTGACACTGCAGCATGGGCTCGGGTGAACAGGAGCAGCATGACTGAAGGTCACTGGTACCTGTCCTTGTCACAGCTGAGTCCCTGCCTGCCTCCCAAGTACACAGTACAGTATATACACTTGGCTATACACTAGACTGCTGCAGTGGGGTGGAGAGTGTGAGTGAGAGGGTCTGGTGCTGTATATATCAGAGTTATGACAAGCTCTAACCCGTCAAACGTTACCCCCTGCCTGTGCTGACTGGGTGTCTTACAGTAGTATTAATACCCCTGCTGAAAATAGCCAGGGCCTTCCTCTCCATGTATGTCACTGCCCTGGGTGGGGCCTGGACAGGGCCAGCTCTGGCCGTCTGAACACTGCTACAGCAGGACAGTTGCTCTCGCTAACCCTCATACTGCCAGCCAAGTCTGCAGCAATTGGCCTAACACACAAAGCGAGACCAACGCATCGCCGGGGCTCTGGGACAGGGACCACCAGGATAGTACACAGACGTGCCTGCTTTGAGCTTTTGAAGACACCACCATGGTGAAGTGTCTGATCCGCATCACCACACGGGTGAACGTCCACCTGCGGATGATCAACCACTGCTACCGGGATGTGAAGGTGCGCGTGCTGAGCCTGGGGCCCCGGATGCTTGGCAAGGCTCTTGGCGTCCTGCCCCTCTACCCTGCCCTAACTGGGCAGGAGCCTGGCAGCCTCTCCCCCCTGCCTCCCCCCATCTTGCCTGGCACCCCTCTGCCCGACGGCAGGCCCCAGTCCAGCACCCCGACAGGTAACCTCATCATCAGCGCCCTCCTGGAGTGTGTTACACAGTGACCAGCTCCCTGTGTGTTAAATCACTCCCACCTCATCAATGTCAACAGAATGGAAATGGTGCCATGCCTTTGATGCCATTGATGTCTGATCCTCTAAATCATATGGTCCTTGGTGGCCCTTTGTGAATGGAGTCTTTGCATCTTTTTCTTGACCTCTTTGAGATTCATCGGTTCATTTATCCTTTTGTTGGTTTAGAGGAAGTCTATGGGTCTTCTTATTCTGGTTGTGATGGTTGAGGTGCAGACTAGTGATGTGATACTGCTTTGTTGTTGATTTGTGAAGTTATGATTTGATTTTGAATTCAGGTATATTTTTTACGATATTTTGGCCTTTTGGAGGATTTTTACTTGCTTTACGCAATGTCCTCTGGAAGATGCATTGTGTAGTGAAATGTCTATAGGTTGCATTCTGCCCTGCAACCAAGCATATCCTAGGATGTACTGAAGGAGATTACCAATGAGTAAAGATGGCGCTTCTCACTGCCACCCACTACAGAGGCATCCTGCTTTTGCTTTTGACAGAATCTCAGCAGTCAGCATGGCTTAACAGAGCTGGCCTAATCTCTATTTTGTAGTTCCTTGAGGAAGATTTTTCCCCCTATGGATGAAAAGCACACATATGAGCATTAAAGGAAAGATTCACCCATTTTGAATGTAATATTGTTTTTGAGCATCTCTGAGCGATGTTCTATTGATTCCCGGGGTAATTTCATGTTTTCATGTCTATCTGAGCTATTCGCCGTTCAAGCAGGCAGAAATACAGCCGGAATGTTTAAAACTCGTCTGCCTGCTTGAACGGCAATAGCTCAGATACACATGAAAACATGAAATGAACCTGGGAATCGATAAAACATCACTCAGAATGGGTGAATCTTTCCTTTAAAATACGCCTCATCATCAGGAGATGATATGTTAATCCCTCTGCCTCTATGAAGGTGTAATATTTCTGCGGTGGCTGTCTGAGGAATGGAACAGTCAGCGCAAGCTCAACTCTTTCTCACCCGCAGTGACGTCTGTCCTGTAGCTCGTATAAAGAGAATATATACACTGAACAAAAATATATAAACTCAACATGTAAAGTTTTGGTCCCATGTTTCATGAGCTGAAATAAAAAATCCCAGACATTTTCCATATGCACAAAAAGCTTATTTCTCTTAAATTTTGTGCTCAAATTTATTTACATCCCTGTTAGTGAGCATTTCTCTTTTGCCAAGATAATCCATCCACCTGACAGGTGTGGCATATCAAAAAGCTGATTAAACAACATGATAATTAAACAGGTGCACCTTGTGCTGGGGACAATAAAAGCACACTTTAAAATGTGCAGTTTTGTCACACAACACAATGCCACAGATGTGTCAAGTTTTGAGGGAGCGTGCAATTGGCATGCTGACTGCAGGAATGTCCACAAGAGCTATTGCCAGAGAATTGAATGTTCATTTCTCTACCATAAGCTGCCTCCAGTGTCGTTTTAGAGAATTTGGCAGTACGTCCAACCGGCCTCACAACCGAAGACCACGGGTAACCACGCCAGCCCAGGACCTCCACATCTGGCTTCTTCACCTGCGGGATCGTCTGAGGGGGGAGGAGTATTTTTGTCTGTAATAAAGCCATTTTGTGGGGAAAAACTCATTCTGATTGGCTGGGCCTGGCTCCCCAGTGGGTGGGCCTGGCTGCCAAGTGGGTGGGCCTATGCCCTCCCAGCCCCACCCATGGCTGCATCCCTGCCCAGTCATGTGAAATCCATAGATTAGGGCCTAATGCATTTATTTCAATTGACTGATTTCCTTATAACTGTAACACAGTAAAATCTTTCAAATTGTTGCATGTTGCATTTATATTTTTGTTCAGTATAGATACATTTGCGTATCCTTTGGGTATAATGAAAAATGCTGTGTTTGCTTTTTTGCAGAGTAAGCATGCGATCACAGATGAGCTAGCAACCTTTAATGCATCCTAAAGCTAACTGTAGGCTACCCCAGAGACCAATACTGTGTCAATAATTATTTAGGAAAAAATACAAATGTTTTCTTATTTGAGAATGACCAAATGCTTTATGTGGGGTGTTTATTTATATTTGCACCTATCTTATTTCATATTTCTATGTTGTGGATTATGATATTCTCCCCCTGCTATTGTATGGGCCTCACATTTTGTAGGTTGAAATTAGCAATACTTAGTGAGTGTTATTATTGTCCTTTACCTTGACTTGAAGGGCCATCAAGAGACCATATACATAGTTTCCCCAGACCTATATTAGCTTCTGACTGAAAGATAAACCTAACCACTGTGACCTTTCGAGGTTTATATCTGGGAGGGCTCAGAGTGCTGTGGGACTAATGAACAAGCTGCTAATCAGAATGGAGCATGTGTTTGTTGAGCTCTCTGTCACTGGACATTCCCCACTCATCAGACCTTCATCTAGAATAGATCAATGGTCCAGTCCAGAGTGATGTTCATATGATCAATCATTAAGCAAACAGATTGCATTATGTTACTGTATAAACCCATTGATATGCCCTCACATGGTTGAAACTATCTCTTATTAGGTGTTAGCACTGTAGTGTTGTGTACTGGAAACCCCCTCTGAATCTGTTTCCCTCCCTCCCTCCCTCTCTCTCCTCACCCTCCTCGCCCCACTCCCTGCCCTGGACAGGTCTGGAGTCATTGCGTGACAGTGCCCACTCTACACCTGTGCGCTCTGTGTCCCATGGGGACTCCTTCATGCCACGCTCCCGCAGCCTGGCCACAGATGCCAGCGAGGGCTCGGCGGTGATCTCTGACGAGGCCTACAGCCCCTCTGACAGCGTGCTGCCCACCCCTGTGGCAGAGCACAGCCTGGAGCTGGCCATGGCACGCCAGGTCAACGGAGCCCCCTGCAGCATCAAGGAGGAGAAGGAGTCGGAGCCAGGCACCCCCTCGGTGGGGGATGCAGGCGACTTGTCAGACAGTAGAGTGGCGGTAAAGGGTGCAGAGAGAGCCTCGTTGCTTAGCGAAGTGGAACAGGTGAATACGTTTGTTTTAAGTGTCCTCCGTTTGCTCCTTGTGACCATTGGACTCCTCTTTGTCTTGCTCCTCCTCCTCATCATCCTCACTGAATCCGACCTTGACGTTGCATTTTTTCGTGATATCCGCCAGACCCCCGAATTTGAGCAGTTCCATTACGAATACTTTTGTCCCCTCAGGCGGTGGTTTGCCTGCAAGCTCCGCTGGTTGGGCAGTTTGCTCATTAACAAATGAGAGAGCGTGTGAGGCCGTAGAGTGCATAAGCCCCTTTGGGGTTAGAGAAGACGATTAAAGCTCCGGAGAGATGGAGGGCAGCCCCGTTCCAACCATGAACCCAGCTTCTCTCATGATACTCCCGCTGACATACATGTCGGACCACTCCTGGAATCACTGTGCCAGGAGTTTCTCTCCCTCCATTTTGAGTTACTCCCCCTTTTTTCCCCTTTACCGTTCATTTGTTTTTTACAAACCCAGAAGACATTTTTGATTTTTTTGGAATTTCAGGTCATTTCAGGTATTTTATTTTTTCAAAAAATATAAACGAAAAAATAAGAAACTGAAATTAAAGAACTGAAGTCTTTTTTAACAGGAATGAGACATTTTGTTGCAACGAATGAAAGTTGCCTACATTTACTATGTATTGTTTGGAAAATTAATTGCATTTGCATAGGGGAAGAATGTGATGCAAGGATATCAGGGAAGCCACCAAGTCATCGAAATGGTTCAGAATGAAGTGAGATAGATACAGTTTTGAAAAGTGTTCAGTGAAGTAGACATTCATGCCTTTTCAGATGAAGTAACATCCATCCCAATCCATACATCTATAATGGTTTTCATTGATCAGAACACCTTAAATGAGGGAAGCTAGAGCAAAGCAAAGTGATTGAAATTGAGTAAGTCGGGATGATTACCAAATGCCTTTTATGAAGAAAAAAGTAATAATAATAATAAGTCATTTAGCAGACGCTCTTATCCAGAGCGACTTACAGGAGCAATTAGGGTTAAGTGCCTTGCTCAAGGGCACATCGACAGATTTTTCACCTAGTCGGCTCGGGGATTAGAACCAGCGACCTTTCGGTTACTGGCACAACGCTCTTAACCACTAAGCTACCTGCCGCCCATGATATGAAGACCGTTCTGAATTTGTCGGATTGTTTTAAAGTTATACTTTAGTGGAAATACAATAGGTGTATAAAGTAGAAGCTGTGAAGTTGAAGTCCATTTTAAGTTTTTATAAAGGATACAGTTAAATAAACCAGTGACCATGGTGTTATGTGACCCCATAGTGTCAGTAACTGTTAGAAGTGTTGATGATCAACTTCTTGGAAACGCTCACTAGCACCAATAGAACCAGTCTAGGTAGATGTGCAATACTCTTTAGCTTAAATACTTCAGTACTTTTGAATGTCTGCATTTGTTTTGTCATATTTCTTTATTTTGTTTTATGTACATTTCTTGATTATGTTAAGATCTGATTAAATTGAAGATCTGATGAAATGTATGATTTCTTTCAGTTCCATATCAACCTTGCTCTTAAGTTTGTGTATATCATACTATAATTAATTGTTAGTATAAGAATAACAATTATGTACTTTTTGTACAAAGTAGTTTGTTTCCTAATATATTGACAGTTTTTCCATGTATATTTTAACAGAACTGAAATGATATTTTGTTATTGAAGATTAAATTATACCTTTTTTAGCTCTGTGTTTCAAGTGAGGTCTAGCATTTATGGACATATTGGAGAGGGGGTTGACTCAAAAACAGGGCTTTTATCAAGATCCACTCCATATAGATCACACCTCGCTCACTCCACCAGCATGCACACTTTTTAGTTGTCAAGACAACTATTTCAAATGCCCACTGTGGGCCAGGAAGGCACAACAGATGGTGGAGGAACAATACATATTTTAGAAAGTAGACTGGACTACAATACCAACAGAAAACATAGTACTCCAAATACATGTTTTCATGCCTGTAAACGTCACAACAAATGCAGATTGGTCAGTCGTTTTCCACGGTTTGAGAGGTGACTGTGCGGACTATTCTGTCTCATAGCTCAAGGGAGCAATAATTCTGCTGTCATGGCTGATTTTGGGTAAAATCTGTTTTTGTGGGGGTTTTGTCTCTAACTCCTGTACTGTACCTGGTGCAGATGTAAGTGAGTGTGTGTTGTGTGTCTGTATGTAGGAATGTAACACACTTCAAGCTGATAATGTGAAGTGTTGACAGATAAAAATATGGTCTTATTATAAGTGAGAGAAAATGAGAGCTAGAACGAAAAAGAAAGAGAGATCGAAAGAAAGAGATTGAATGAGAAAGAGGTAGAGGTACAAGGGACGTCAAAATAAATGAGCACTGATGAGTCGACCAGCCTCACATGCAAGAGGCCGGTACGAGTATAATCAAAGGGGAATGCATATGTGAGCACTTGGTGCTCGTGACTATTGGCTGTACAGCCATTCCTGTTTTGGCCTGTTATTTAACACCATGACCTCCACACAGCTGCTCCATGCTCTGATCCCCCAGCGGTGCTACTGCCTGCTCTGCCCTGGGGAGCCCAGCCTGGGCCCATGTAACCAGAGCACTGCATCCCCTGGCCCTGAGTGTAGTCTGTCCCCCAACAGCACCCTGCTAGTTGATGTAGACCCAGCAAGGAAGACACTGCAGCGTATACAGTTGAAGTCGGAGGTTTACATACAACTTAGCCAAAGACATTTAAACTCAGTTTTTCACAATTCCTGACATTTAATCCTAGTAAAAATGCCCTGTCTTAGGTCAGTTAGGATCACCACTTTATTTTAAGAATGTGAAATGTCAGAATAATAGTAGAGAATTACATTTGCGACCAAGCTTTAACTTCCTGACTGATGTCTTGAGATGTTGCTTCAATATATCCACATAATTTTCCTTCCTCATGATGCCATCTATTTTGTGAAGTGCACCAGTCCCTCCTGCAGCAAAGCACCACCACAGCATGATGCTGCCACCCCCGTGCTTCACGGTTGGGATGGTGTTTTTCGGCTTGCAAGCCTGCCCCTTTTTCCTCCAAACATAACGATGGTCATTATGGCCAAACAGTTCTATTTTTGTTTAATCAGACCAGAGGACATTTCTCCAAAAAGTATCATCTTTGTCCCCATGTGCAGTTGCAAACCGTAGTCTGGCTTTTTTATGGTGGTTTTGGAGCAGTGGCTTCTTCCTTGCTGAGCGGCCTTTCAGGTTATGTCAATGTAGGACTCGTTTTACTGTGGATATAGATACTTTTGTACCTGTTTCCTCCAGGATCTTCACAAGGTACTTTGCTGTTGTTCTGGGATTGATTTGCACTTTTCGCACCAAAGTACATTCATCTCTAGGAGACAGAACGCGTCTCCTTCCTGAGCGGTATGACGGCTGCGTGGTCCCATGGTGTTTATACTTGGGTACTATTGTTTGTACAGATGAACGTGGTACCTTCAGGCGTTTGGAAATTGCTCCCAAGGATTAACCAGACTTGTGGAGGTCTACAATTATTTTTCTGAGGTCTTGGCTGATTTCTTTTGATTTTCCCATGATGTCAAGCAAAGAGGCACTGAGTTTGAAGGTAGACCGTGAAATACATCCACAGGTACACCTCCAATTGATTCAAATGATGTCAATTAGCCTATCAGAAGCCATGACATCATTTTCTGGAATATTCCAAGCTGTTTAAAGGCACAGTCAACTTAGTGTATGTAAACTTCTGACCCACTGGAATTGTGATACAGTGAATTATAAGTGAAATAATCTGTCTGTAAACAATTGTGGGAAAAATTACTTGTGTCATGCACAAAGTAGATGTCCTAACCGACTTGCCAAAACTATAGTTTGTTAACAAGAAATTTGTGGAGTGGTTGAAAAACAAGTTTTAATGACTCCAACCTAAGTGTATGTAAACTTCCGACTTCAACTGTACCTGTCAGTGCTATAATAATAATATGCCATTTAGCAGACGCTTTTATCCAAAGCGACTTACAGTCATGTGTCTACTGTAGTCCTAGCCATTTCAGTTCTTAACCCTCCATCAACAGGGTGGAGCCCAGACATCTGCGGTGTGAAATACCCATGTTTATGGCACAGGTGTGGAAAAGCAGCCCTTTGTAGCAAATATGGTGCAGTAACAGTTACATACCATAGAAAGGCAGAAATTCCTGAGTCAAATATGCATGCTCCTTATGCTAGTGTATCACGCATGCACTTCCAATGAACAGCACATACAAGGATAGAGGATGACTTGAAAAGTTGAATTTGTCTGTACCTAGATGGGGTGTGTTGATCCAATATGCAAGATAACGGTACTGTTTCATTATTTTATACATTCATATTTCCTATTTATTACTTGCCTAATGCTAAATACTGTAAAGGTCAACAGGATAGTTCCAGACAGTCTGTTAGTGTTACTTCCTAAAGGTCAGGGAACTGGAAGAGCAAAAAGGCTCAAAGGTCAATTGATGGTCTACGTTCGTACACATTATCAGCATTATGCGGCTTTAATGTTCTTTCCAAACATGCAACAAGTAAGGCAGCATCATTCAATAAGCAATAATCAGTCAAATTGTAAGAGCAAATGGACATATACAGAAGTCTTACACGGGACATTGTGCTGTTGTTTTTTACAGTGTCAAAAATCAGTTTACTGTCATTGTACACTACATGGCCAAAAGTATATGGACATCCCTTCAAATTAGTGGATTGGGCTATTTCAGCCACACCCGTTGCTGACAGGTGTATAACATCGAGCACACAGCCATGCAATATCCATAGACAAACATTGGTAGTAGAGTGGCCCATACTGAAGAGCTCAGAGACTTTCAATGTGACACCGTCATAGGATGCCACCTTTCCAACAAGTCAGTTCGTCAAATTTCTGCCCTGCTAGATCTGCCCCGGTCAACTCTAAGTGGTGTTATTGTGAAGTGGAAACGTCTAGGAGCAACAACGGCTCAGCCGCGAAGTGGTAGGCCACACAAGCTCACAGAACGGGGCCGCCGAGTGCTGAAGCGCGTGGCGCTTAAAAATCGTCTGTCCTCGGTTGCATCACTCACTACCGAGTTTGGCGCCATTGGACTCTGGAGTAGTGGAAACTCATTCTCTTGAGTGATGAATCACGCTTCACCATCTGGCAGTCCGACTGATAAATCTGGGTTTGGCGGATGCCAGGAGAACGCTACCTGCCCCAATGCATAGTGCCAACTGTAAAGTTTGGTGGAGGAGGAATAATGGTCTGGGGCTGTTTTTCATGGTTCGGGCTAGGCCCCTTAGTTCCAGTGAAGGGAAATCGATTCTGTGCTTCCAACTTTGTGGCAACAGTTTGGGGAAGGCCCTTTCCTGTTTCAGCATGACAATGCCCCCGTGCACAAAGCGAGGTCCATACAGAAATGGTTTGTCGAGATCGGTGTGGAACAACTTGACTGGCCTGCACAGAGCCCTTACCTCAACTCAATCGAACACCTTTGGGATGAATTGGAACGCCTAATCGCCCAACATCAGTGCCCAACTTCACTAATGCTCTTGTGGCTGAATGGAAGCAAGTCCCTGCAGCAATGTTCCAATATCTAGTGCAAAGCCTTCCCAGAAGAGTAGAGGCTGTTATAGCAGCATAGGGGGGACCAACTCCATATTAATCCCCATGATTTTGGAATGAGATGTTCGACAAGCAGGGGTCCATATACTTTTGCCATGTAGTGTATCTACAATACCAACAAATTAGTGGTCATGGTACGCTCCTTTTCTTTTTGATAAAAACAGTAATAATGTGAAGATGAAGACAGTTATCATTATTCTTAGTATGTACCACATTTTATAGATGTTTTTTCCTTCCATTGTTAGAGCTCTTATTGGGATGTTGGCCTTCAGCGTTTTGTTCAACAGTACTTCAATGTGACCGAAGGGTCTTTCCCTGTGCCTGGAATCTTTAGTCCCTAACTGCTCTGCATTTTACCAAAGGCGCAAATGAGTGAATGGACAGAGACAGATGCAGTGCATCCTCCTCATAAAGTATGGACTACCCTTTAATTTCACAGACTTAAAGGGAAAACACTGTTAGCTATGTAGCTTTGTAGCTGTTGTTAATGTAGGGTGGTGGTTACTGATCCCATGTGATGTTGTATGGTTGGCTCTTACGGCAGTGATTCATTTGTGTATCTGAGGGAAAGTTATGTAGTTCTGTCTTATATTTGTATCGGTCTGAATCTCTCTGTACAGGTACGTTGCCTCTGAAAAACCTTGAATCTGTACAGTACATTTGGTCTGGTGATGTCATGTTTACGTTATTTTCTTTGACGATCTCTCCTGGGAACTGGCTGTAGTACTTGTTTGTCTGGTAGATGTTTCAGACTCTTGCTGGTAGTGTGTAAAACAGTAGGGGATTTCTCTGATGTTGTCTTTGGACATCTGCCATGGTTTACATATAGTATGTTGGGAATCATTTTGGAAACCACAGGCTAATACATAACATTGATTGGCCATTACTCTGAGAAAAGGAGGTACAAGATATTCTACATATGACTGTTGGCCAATGACATGAAGATTAAACAGTAGTGAAAAGTATAGCTTGAAAAATAACATGCCAGCAGATGAGCTAGTTTGACTGCATAAGGTACATGGAATTGAGCTGTCTTTTCCTGAAGGTCCCCTTTACTCCCACAGTAATACTACTTAACAAGTATAGGGCAGACAGAGCTAGAGCGCTGAGGGAGTTAATAGAACCAGTCATTATAATATTGTCACCTTGTTGTAATATGCATCTGCCCCTTTGTCAGCTCCCAAGCAAACACTCTCACACAGCTGTGCATATACATGTGTATATGCATTAGTGTCTGTAGACGTGTCTTATTTATTCCTGTATTCTGCATCTTTCTATCTCGGGAATGAAGGTTGCTGTTTATTTACATAATATGAATATACAAATATATACAAATGTATGTGCCAAATCCAGTTCTTGTTCAGATCCATTCCAAATCCCATGCTTATACTGTAGGAAACCTTCTGTACAAAACAGTATACAATATTGTTTCTCTCTGATAGTCCCTTGTAACTGGTGCCATTAAACTATTCAAAATTGAAATAAACATTGAACATTTAAATGAGCTTCTTGTGGTTTATGGCTCAATGCAAATTCACACAACGCAATTAAAATGTCATGTTTTTGAAAGCTCATATAGTGCCATCTACAGGGAACATCTACACATTGCATGCTTTTGGGGTAAATGGAAGTACAGTATTAAGTAGGTGGTTCAAAACAAAAAACACCATCTCCCATATTTACCTTTTCCAGATGAAAACATGTTAAAGCAGTATCACATTTAAGAATCATATTTTCATGAGCCTTTATTAAAAGTGAAAAACTTCATCAGAATGGATAAAAGCATAAGACATTCTGCTAAAGAAGCAAACAAACTGATAATCCAGTGAAAAAAACTAAACAGACTATTGAAGACGCGGTACAGGAATACACAGTGCAACAGTTAAAATGAAACAAGTAAATTGTAAACAAATTGAATCCCAGTTTCAAATCCTCTACTGACTAGGAGTTTCATTGCTACTCCACAAAGTCCCTCTGTTAGACTCCAGGTATGGCCAGGAGTTACTCCTACAGTACAGAGAAGGCTGGTTTGAGGAATGGCCGGCTGTTGGTTTGTGGTGTGGGGAGGGCCATGAAGCCGGGCCTCCTCCCCACTGGGCCTGCTGCTGAAGGCCTTGAGCCCCGTCCTGCTGCTGACCCCCGGCCTTTAGATCCACCTCTGGAGTTGGACCCTGTCCATGACCCGTTGCTGCTGTACCCCCTACACCTCGAGACAGGAGTGCAGAGAATGAATTGAAATGGGTAAATGTAGATGCCAGCTAGTATTCTGAATCAAAGTCTGGCATGACATAACTCAAATATACAGTTGCTAGTATTCGTTTGTAAAATATATATACAGTATCTCACAAAAGTGAGTACACCCCTCACATTTTTGTAAATATGAGTATATCTTTTCATGTGAAAACACTGAAGAAATGACACTTTGCTACAATGTAAAGTAGTGAGTGTACAGCTTCTATAACAGTGTAAATTTGCTGTCCCCTCAAAATAACTCAACACACAGCCATTAATGTCTAAACCGCTGGCAACAAAAGTGAGTACACCCCTAAGTGAAAATGTCAAGATTGGGCCCAATTAGCCATTTTCCCTCCCCGGTGTCATGTGACTCATTAGTGTTACAAGGTCTCAGGTGTGAATGGGGAGCAGGTGTGTTAAATTTGGTGTCATCGCTCTCACACTCCCTCATACTGGTCACTGGAAGTTCAACATGGCACCTCATGGCAAAGAACTCAATGAGGATCTGAAAAAAGGAATTGTTGCTCTACATAAAGATGGCCTGGGCTATAAGAAGATTGCCAAGACCCTGAAACTGAGCTGCAGCACGGTGGCCAAGACCATACAGCGGTTTAACAGGACAGGTTCCACTCAGAACAGGCCTCGCCATGGTTGACCAAAGAAGTGGAGTGCACGTGCTCAGCGTCATATCCAGAGGTTGTTTTTGGGAAATAGACGTATGAGTGCTGCCAGCATTGCTGCAGAGGTTGAAGGGGTGGGGGGTCAGCCTGTCAGTGCTCAGACCATACGCCGCACACTGCATCAAATTGGTCTGCATGGCTGTCGTCCCAGAAGGAAGCCTCTTCTAAAGATGATGCACAAGAAAGCCTGCAAACAGTTTGCTGAAGACAAGCAGACTAAGGACATGGATTACTGGAACCATGTCCTGTGGTCTGATGAGATCAAGATAAACTTATTTGGTTCAGATGGTGTCAACCGTGTGTGGTGGCAACCAGGTGAGGAGTACAAAGACAAGTGTGTCTTGCCTACAGTCAAGTATGGTAGTGGGAGTGTCATGGTCTGGGGCTGCATGAGTGCTGCCGGCACTGGGGAGCTACAGTTCATTGAGGGAACCATGAATGCCAACATGTACTGTGACATACTGAAGCAGAGCATGATCCCCTCCCTTCGGAGATTGGGCCGCAGGGCAGTATTCCAACATGATAACGACCCCAAACACACCTCCAAGACGACCACTGCCTTGCTAAAGAAGCTGAGGGTAAAGGTGATGGACTGGCCAAGCATGTCTCCATTCCTAAACCCTATTGAGCATCTGTGGGGCATCCTCAAACGGAAGGTGGAGGAGTGCAAGGTCTCTAACATCCACCAGCTCCGTGATGTCGTCATGGAGGAGTGGAAGAGGACTCCAGTGGCAACCTGTGAAGCTCTGGTGAACTCCATGCCCAAGAGGGTTAAGGCAGTGCTGGAAAATGATGGTGGCCACACAAAATATTGACACTTTGGGTCCAATTTGGACATTTTCACTTAGGGGTGTACTCACTTCTGTTGCCAGCGGTTTAGACATTAATGGCTGTGTGTTGAGTTATTTTGAGGGGACAGCAAATTTACACTGTTATACAAGCTGTACACTCACTACTTTACATTGTAGCAAAGTGTAATTTCTTCAGTGTTGTCACATGAAAAGATATACTCAAATAGTTAAAAAAATGTGAGGGGTGTACTCACTTTTGTGAGATACTGTATATATATATATATATATATATATATATATATATATATATATATATATACATACACACAGTTGAAGTCGGAAGTTTACATACACTTAGGTTGGATCAATTAAAACTTGTTTTTCAACCACTCCACACATTTCTTGTTAACAAACTATCGTTTTGGCAAGTCGGTTAGGACATCTACTTTGTGCATGACAAGTAATTTTTCCAACAACTGTTTAGACAGATTATTTCACTTAATCACAATTCCAGTGGGTCAGAGGTTCACATACACTAAGTTGACTGTGCCTTTAAACTTCCAGAAAATGATGTCATGGCTTTAGAAGCTTCTGATAGGCTAATTGACATAATTTTAGTCAATTGGAGGTGTACCCGTGGATGTATTTCAAGGCCTACCTTCAAACTCAGTGCCTCTGCTTGACATCATGGGAAAATGAAAAGAAATCAGCCAAGACCTCAGAAAAATTATTGTACACCTCCACAAGTCTGGTTCATCCTTGGGAGCAATTTCCAAACGCCTGAAGGTACCACGTTCACCTGTACAAACAATAGTACGCAAGTATAAATACCATGGGACCACGCAGCCGTCATACCGCTCAGGATGGAGATGCGTTCTGTCTCCTAGAGATTAACGTACTTTGGTGCGAAAAGTGAAAATCAATCCCAGAACAACAGCAAAGGACCTTGTGAAGATGCTGGAGGAAACAGGTACAAAAGTATTTATATCCACAGTAAAACGAGTCCTATATCGACATAACCTGAAAGGCCGCTCAGCAAGAAAGAAGCCACTGCTCCAAAACCGCCATAAAAAAGCCAGACTACGGTTTGCAACTACACATGGGGACAAATATCGTACTTTTTGGAGAAATGTCCTCTGGTCTGATGAAACAAAAATAGAACTGTTTGGCCACAATGACCATCGTTCTGTTTGGAGGAAAAAGGGGGTGGCTTGCAAGCCGAAGAACACCATCCCAACTGTGAAGCACGGGGGTGGCAGCATCATGCTGTGGGGGTGCTTTGCTGCAGGAGGGACTGGTGCACCTCACAAAATAGATGGCATCATGAGGAAGGGAAATTATGTGGATATATTGAAGCAACATCTCAAGACATCAGTCAGGAAGTTAAAGCTTGGTCGCAAATGGGTCTTCCAAATGGACAATGACCCCAAGCATACTTCCAAAGTTGTGGCAAAATGGCTTAAGGACGACAAAGTCGTAGAAAACGTGTGGGCAGAACTGAAAAAGCATGTGCGAGCAAGGAGGCCCACAAACCTGACCCAGTTACACCAGCTCTGTCAGGAGGAATGGGCCAAAATTCACCCAACTTATTGTGGGAAGCTTGTGGAAGGCTACCCGAAACGTTTGACCCATGTTAAACAATTTAAAGGCAATGCTACCAAATACTAATTCAGTGTATGTAAACATCTGACCCACTGGGAATGTGATGAAAGAAATAAAAGCTTAAATAAATCATTCTCTCTACTGTTATTCTGACATTTCACATTCTTAAAATAAAGTGGTGATCTTAACTGACCTAAGACAGGGAATTTTTACTATGATTAAATGTCAGGAATTGTGAACACTGAGTTTAAATGTATTTGACTAAGGTGTATGTAAACTTCCGACTTCAACTGTATGTATGTATGTATGTATATATATATATATATATATATATAAATAAAATGTAGTCCCTTTTTTGATTTAATTTTAAGGCAGCAAAATGTGAAGACTGTGCTCATAGCAGGTGTGTAGACTTTCACTACACACTGTATATGGCCGCATATAAGATTTAACATTTGACTTGACATTTGAGACTAACCCTTTAGAGTTGGAGTTTGTATATCCCTTTCTCTTTTTGGATTTCTTGAAGGCAGGGGCCTTCTTCCTCTTCTGTCCTCTGCCGTTATTGTTGAAATAACTGGATGATCCAGCATCGTCCTCATAATAGTCCTCCTCGTTGTCTCCACGGCCTGGCGTTGTGTCTATCCATGCCATAGTGGAGCCTCCTTCAGTGGTGTCAGACTGCTCCTCCACTGCAGAGGGGTTCAGTCAGACAGACACACGTGTTAACACAAACCAACCACACTACAGGTCCAACACAGCAGGGCACAGACACGTGTTAACACAAACCAACCACACTACAGGTCCAACACAGCAGGGCACAGATACGTGTTAACACAAACCAACCACACTACAGGTCCAACACAGCAGGGCACAGATATGTGTTAACACAAACCAACCACACTACAGGTCCAACACAGCAGGGCACAGATACGTGTTAACACAAACCAACCACACTACAGGTCCAACACAGCAGGGCACAGACACGTGTTAACACAAACCAACCACACTACAGGTCCAACACAGCAGGGCACAGACACGTGTTAACACAAACCAACCACACTACAGGTCCAACACAGCAGGGCACAGATATGACTGTTTTATCCAGTTGTGTAGGATATGCTTTCCCCAGTGTGGTCACTCACCAGGTAGCTTCCACTCAGAGTATTTCTGCAGCAGCTCGATGACATCTGCTCCGTACTTCTCCAGTTTGTCCTCCGTCACACCGTCAATCGTCAACAGCACTTCTGGGTCGGCCGACAGAGTCTCTGGGAGAAGGAAACAGTTTTACAACAAGGCCTGGTTACTGGAAGTCTACCAATAAATGTTAGGTAAACCCTTGCTTGGTCTAGAAAAGGAATATGAACAGGAATGAAATACAATAAGTATAAATAGTGGTGTATGCTCTCAGCACTCACCAGCTATCTTCTTCAGGGTGGCAGTGGAGAAGATGTTGTAATAGTGAATGCCAAAGACCTTGCCCAGCCTCTTGCACAGATCAGTGAGCTCCTGCAGACACTTCTGGACCATCTCATCTCTCTTGGAGACATCCTTGGCCACAGCAGTTTTGTGCTTCCTGATGCTGGAGGCACTCTCGGTCTCATAGAACTCCACCTGGGACAAGGAAAAATAACTATGTTCCCATTTCTACTGCAGGGATAACTAAATATGTGAAGCTAATAACGAATGGCACAGCACAGTTCACAACAGTTGATGACGTATCGAATGAGAACTACGTTTATTGACCAGTATGATGTGTGTAAGCTCACCTGCATGTGTCCCCCTAGGACGTTCATGGCTTTGGGTCCAGCAGAGATGTAGGCCACTGCCTGGCTGTTGGCTGTGATGTACAGGTCCTCCACCAGGAGGTGATCCAGCACCAGCTTCTTGAACAGACGGTCAGCGTTGTGTTTGGAGTAAGCCTTTCCTATCGCAAACATCCCTGACTGGACACGGGCAGTTTTAGCGCCTGTCAGAAAGCATCGTTGAGTTTCTCTCAGTAACACTAAACATACAGTAATTTTGTATTATTCAATTGAGTGGTGCTCTAATTTACTGCATACCCAAGAAAATGTCCACCAGCATGTTCAGAGTCAATCGGTTTTGGTTCGCAGATTTGCCATATCTGGAGCCAACTTTTTCACAATTCTCCTGGACAAATCTCACAATCTTCTTCACATCTTCAGTCACATTTCTTGCCTTGTATTGCTGAAAGCAAAAAATAACATAAGCAGCTTGATTAAATGGAAAACTTTTCTAATTAAAATATGAAACATAACCACATAGCTGTAAAAATACTGTAGTGCAACAGAACAAGTGCTGAGTATGGGAAAGGTTTATGGTAATAATGGATTTATTACAAGGGTTAAATCTTACATTGGGTCTGGCACAGTTGTCACAGATGACATCAGGGTGTTCCTTGCAGAAGCCTGGGTTGAACTTGTGCTCTCCAAAGTAAGCCAGCAGCTGTATCCTTCGGCAGTCCATCACATTCTCACAGAAATGCACCATACTGTGCAGATTGTTCATGTGAGTGGCCTTGGTGTGGTGGTTTCCATCTTTGTCCACTGTGATCAAAACAGAGTGGACATTTTCTCAATATCACTTTCACACTTTGACATACAGGATTTTAGACATTGTCCATGGAGCTTTCCATACCTCCATGGAAATGTTTCAATAGATGATATTTAACACATACAAACTTGCAGAGTATTATTTGTAAGTCTACATAGTCAAAATTCAGATCCGTACTGGTGAGGATCCTCTTGATGCGGATGACGTCAGAGTAGGAGTAGAAGAGGATGCAGTGAGAGATCTCTCCGTCCCTGCCTGCTCTGCCTGACTCCTGGTAGTAGCCCTCTACTGACTTGGGGAGACTGGCGTGGATCACGTAGCGCACATCAGGCTTGTCGATGCCCATGCCGAAGGCTATGGTGGCACACATGACCTGGAGGACAGGGATACAACATTAACCCTGGGTTAATGAAAGCTCAAGTAGTATGAAGGTGGTTAGTAATGTTTACGTGTAAACATCTGTTAAGATCACCTCACCTGGCAGCCATCCTGATTGATCCATTTGGACTGCACATATTCTCTGTCTTTGTCATTGAGGCCTGCGTGGTAGGCTAGCGCTAGTATACCAGCTCTCTGAAGACTGTCAGCCATGTTGTCACAGTCATTACGGGACAGGCAGTACACAATGCCAGAATCACCTACACACAAGGAGTTAAAACCAGTCATGATCTCAGTCCTCAAAACACTTAATTCCACTATCATTGAAAACCTGATCAACTGAGGGAGAACACTACTAACGTGGATAATTCTTCTTGATCCAGTCAATGCAGTCCTCATCTACCTTCTTGGGTTTCTTGGGTAACACAGCATATTTGAGGTTGTTTCTGTTGAAGCTCATGGTAAACCTGAAAGTGAAAGGACACCATGAGGAACATTCATTCAAACAGCTGCTGTATGTTTGCATACGACAACACTACAACTGTACTGGTGTTTTGTCCCAGGTAAGGCCCGTTTTAGAGCACGTACACCTGAGGCTGGGTCATCTGAAGCTGGTTGAGGATGTCCTTCTGGACGCGGGGGGTGGCAGTGGCGGTCAGGGCCATGATTGGCACTTTGGGGAACTTCTGCCGCAGCTCGTACATCCGCTTGTAGTCTGGCCGGAAGTCATGGCCCCACTGAGAGAAACAACAGGGCAGGAGGTTCATCGTCTCCCTCTAACACCTAACATTAGACCAGATAAGGCATCACGTATAGGAACCTACCTGACTGACACAGTGAGCCTCATCAATGACAAAGCGTGCTAGAAGACCTCTCTCATACAGGTTCTGAAGGGCACTGATCATCCTGCCACTCGCACACACCTGGATGAAAACAGATTGAAAAACACAGGTCTGAATAGAGCATTTCCCATTAGAAGAGGTTGATACAGTGGGGAAAAAAAGTATTTAGTCAGCCACCAATTGTGCAAGTTCTCCCACTTAAAAAGATGAGAGAGGCCTGTAATTTGCATCATAGGTACACGTCAACTATGACAGACAAATTGAGAGAAAAAGAATCCAGAAAATCACATTGTGGGATTTTTAATGAATTTATTTGCAAATTATGGTGGAAAATAAGTATTTGGTCACCTACAAACAAGCATGATTTCTGGCTCTCACAGACCTGTAACTTCTTCTTTAAGAGGCTCCTCTGTCCTCCACTCGTTACCTGTATTAATGGCACCTGTTTGAACTTGTTATCAGTATAAAAGACACCTGTCCACAACCTCAAACAGTCACACTCCAAACTCCACTATGGCCAAGACCAAAGAGCTGTCAAAGGACACCAGAAACAAAATTGTAGACCTGCACCAGGCTGGGAAGACTGAATCTGCAATAGGTAAGCAGCTTGGTTTGAAGAAATCAACTGTGGGAGCAATTATTAGGAAATGGAAGACATACAAGACCACTGATAATCTCCCTCGATCTGGGGCTCCATGCAAGATCTCACCCCGTGGGGTCAAAATGATCACAAGAACGGTGAGCAAAAATCCCAGAACCACACGGGGGGACCTAGTGAATGACCTGCAGAGAGCTGGGACCAAAGTAACAAAGCCTACCATCAGTAACACACTACGCCGCCAGGGACTCAAATCCTGCAGTGCCAGACGTGTCCCCCTGCTTAAGCCAGTACATGTCCAGGCCCGTCTGAAGTTTGCTAGAGTGCATTTGGATGATCCAGAAGAGGATTGGGAGAATGTCATATTGTCAGATGAAACCAAAACAGAACTTTTTGGTAAAAACTCAACTCGTCGTGTTTGGAGGACAAAGAATGCTGAGTTGCATCCAAAGAACACCATACCTACTGTGAAGCATGGGGGTGGAAACATCATGCTTTGGGGCTGTTTTTCTGCAAAGGAACCAGGACGACTGATCCGTGTAAAGGAAAGAATGAATGGGGCCATGTATCGTGAGATTTTCAGTGAAAACCTCCTTCCATCAGCAAGGGCATTGAAGATGAAACGTGGCTGGGTCTTTCAGCATGACAATGATCCCAAACACACCGCCGGGCAACGAAGGAGTGGCTTCGTAAGAAGCATTTCAAGGTCCTGGAGTGGCCTAGCCAGTCTCCAGATCTCAACCCCATAGAAAATCTTTGGAGGGAGTTGAAAGTCTGTGTTGCCCAGCGACAGCCCCAAAACATCACTGCTCTAGAGGAGATCTGCATGGAGGAATGGGCCAAAATACCAGCAACAGTGTGTGAAAACCTTGTGAAGACTTGCAGAAAACGTTTTACCTGTGTCATTGCCAACAAAGGGTATATAACAAAGTATTGAGAAACTTATTATTTACCAAATACTTATTTTCCACCATAATTTGAAAATAAATTCATTAAAAATCCTACAATGTGATTTTCTGGATTTTTTCCCCTCATTTTGTCTGTCATAGTTGACGTGTACCTATGATGAAAATTACAGGCCTCTCTCATCTTTTTAAGTGGGAGAACTTGCACAATTGGTGGCTGACTAAATACTTTTTTCCCCCACTGTATCCGTATTACTGGTTAAATTATTTAGTTCTCACCTTTTCAGGAGTGGCATAGAGCAGTTTAATTATGGGGTCCTTCTTGGACAGCTGCAAGTAAATCCTGGCTGCTTCACTGTCAGTCTTCTCACCAGACAAACTTGTGGCGGGAATCTAAAAACATGCAAGGACATTTAAAAACACATTCCAAGCATAGGGTGGCAAGAATGTATACATTTTATACTTCGCACTGTGAGCAGTATGTAGAAAACGTACATCCAGAGTAGTGAGTTTCTGGACCTGGTCTAAAATGAGTGATTTTAGTGGTGAGATGACCACAGTGACTCCTGCACACACACAGGCCGGCAGCTGGTAGCAAAGACTTTTACCCCCTCCTGAAAAACAGGAAATAACAAACACATCCAGCACATTACATTATCTAATCAACATGTTCTGTTCATACCTACTAAATATTACAAATCTGCAAAGTCAGTTGAGTTATTTGAATCAATGCATTAAAACGCACTTGTTGTATACTACAATGTTACAATCGGCATTGATACCCCACTCACCCGTTGGCATCAGGACAAATGTGTCTTCACCTAGCAACGTAGCATTAATGGCTTCCAATTGATTGAATCGGAACTGATGGAGACCAAAGCGCTTGTGGAAAATCTTCATCATCTCTGGACAGTGGGGGAAGTTGAAGCCTCTGAAGCGATCGTGGGCAGGGTTTCTGTATGTGGGCTCTGCAAATGATATGAGATAAACATGAGTCTGTCTGAGCTACAGACCAAGTAATCAATGTAAGAAAAACTACAAAACATTTGTTTAGTAGAAGGAATAATCCAATCTCAAGGCTGCCCTATAATAAATGTACTTGCCAGGAGAGGTGATTTTAGGAGGCTTGGCCACAGGAGCTGGTGTAGCTGGTTTCTTCTGCCAAGTTGATGTACTTGGTCCTCCCTCACGCACCGCTTTAGAGACAGCACTGGAGTCCTGCCTTGATGCTGAGGAGCTTGGGGGTTCAAAGTAATCAGGGATATCTGAATCATTGAAGTCATCTATGTCAAAGTCATCAATGAAGAAATCGTCTGGATCCGTGACTGCCAGGGCTTGTACCACAGAGGCTTGGGTACTGCTCTCCCCAGTCCCTTGTACAGCAGCTGCCGGCCTCTTCGGTGAAAAGAAGAGATTTGACTGAGCCACATCACCAGTTTGGTTTTTGAAGATGCTGTAATTCGATGGAGAGTCACAATTACTATGGCCTGTTGTGGATGCTTTCCTCTCCTCTCCAGTGAAAATAGGATTTGCCAGAGTGCTGGGTCTCCAAGAGATGCCTGGAGTCTGAACATTGATCATGCAGTCAGAGTCCTCAAAAACACTACTGTCGTAGTCCACAGATATGACTGAGGTCCTCCTGAAGGGAAGGGCTTTCATGGAAGAATCTCCTTTATCCTTGGGCAGGCAAGTGGTGGAAGACATGACACTTGGAGTAGCAAAGGAAAAAGTAGTATTTTCACTGAATCTGGATTCCAAGACAGTGCTGTCTGGCTGTTGTGTCCTGAAAGATGTGTCACTGCTGCCAGTAGCAATTATTATTTTCCTGAGGGTAAAAAGGGTGATATGACTAGCAGATTAATAGATGTCACATTAAAACTACAGCTGAAACTTAATCTACAGCTGTTGTCCCATTTAAAATAGTTCAGATTCAAGGAATTACCTATGAGCCCGCTGCAGTAAGAGCTCTGTCCCACAGGACAGGCCTATCAGTTCATGCTCAGGGATGGAATCCACCAGAGCACAGATGGACTCCATGATACTAACGAGCTGATCTTCTGACTTTGGATTGGTGACTAAAGGGACAAAAAAAATGATGAGTCAATACAAGAGAATTATATGCAATGTTCATTGAAATGATGAAAATAGACCAACATCTGGCTTAAACATAACCCATGTTATTCACCTCTTCTTTCTTTAGGAGGACCATCAGACACTCTTTGCAGGCTTGACACTGACCCCCTTGTTGATACAGGGCTGATGTCTTTGCTGACTGCAGAGCCAGCTGACTTCAATCTGTTGTGATCATAAACAACACTTGCCAAGTAGATACAGTGCCAAGTATTCATACCACTTGACTTATTCCACATTTTGTTGTGTTACAGCCTGAATTCAAAATGGATTAAATGGATTTTATTTTCTCACCCATCATCTACACACAATACCCCATAATGACAAAGTAAAAACATGTTTTTAGAAATGTTTGCTAATTTATACAAAAATGAAATACAGAAATATCTAATTTACATACAGTACCAGTCAAAAGTTTGGACACACCTACTTATTCAAGGATTTTTCTTTATTTTACTATTTTCTACATTTCTACATCAGGTGCATGATCATTGCAACTCCACGAGGTGAGATCTTGCATGGCGCCCCAGGCCGAGGGAGATTGACAGTTCTTTTGTGTTCTTCAAAGTTCTTGACATTTTCCGGATTGACTGACCTTCATGTCTTAAAGTAATGATGGACTGTCGTTTCGCTTTGCTTATTTGAGCTGTTCTTGACATAATATGGACTTGGTATTTTACCAAAATAGGGCTATCTTCTGTATACCACCCCTACCTTGTCACAACACAACTGATTGTCTCAAATGCATTAACCTCTTAAGGATTGGACCCCTTTTTTAAATTTTTGCCTAAAATGACATACCCAAGTCTAACTGCCTGTAGCTCAGGACCTGAAGCAAGGATATGCATATTATTGATACTATTTGAAAGGAAACACTTTGAAGTTTGTGGAAATGTGAAATTAATGTAGGAGAATATAACACACTAGATCTGGTAAAAGATAATACAAACCAAAAAACATGTGTTTTCTATTTTTTTTGTTCATCTTTGAAATGCAAGAGAAAGGCCACAATATAATATTGCAGTTTAGGCGCAATTTAGGTTTTGGCCACTAGATGGCAGCATTGTGTGCGCAAAGTTTCAGATTGATCCAGTGAAGCATTGCAATACTGGACTATTTTGTTTCAAGTCTGCCCAAATGTGCCGAATTGGTCAATTGATACATTTTCAAGTACATTACTATCAAGAACATGCAAAAATTATATGGTAATACAAAATGTAAGTTTACACACTCCCAGGAATGTCATACATGATAGATCATTAGCTTATACACTACCTTCCACACATCTAGATGGCCGGGCGGGGTGGGTGTGGAGCCAGAGACAGCAGGGGTTCAAACTGTAGAACCCAGTTCCTACATTTGAATATAAAAATTGATTTTATCAAAGAAAACTATGCTACATTTTTATCTCTGGGACCCTTAGGATGACAAATCAGAGCAAGACTACTTAACGTAAGTACATTATTTACCTTCAGAGGTGAATGTATCAAACCAGTTGCCGTGATACATTTTTTGTTGTTGTGCACTCTCCTCAAACAATAGCATGGTATTTTTTCACTGTAATAGCTACTGTAAATTAGACAGTGCAGTTAGATTAACAAGAATTTAAGCTTTCTGCCCATAGAATACATGTCTATGTCCTGGAAAGTTTGCTGTTACTTACAACAGTCATGCTAATCACATTAGCGCACGTTAGCTCAACCTTCCCGTATACGGGACACCGATCCCGTAGAAGTTAAGGAAAGAAATTCCACAAATTAACTTTTAACAACGCACACCTGTTAATTGAAATGCATTCCAGGTGACTACCTCATGAAGCTGGTTGAGAGAATGCCAAGAGTGTGCAAAGCTCTCATCAAGGCAAAGGGTGGCTACTTTGAAGAATCTCTAATATAAAATATATTTTGATTTGTTTAACACTTTTTTGGTTAACACTTTTTTGATTCCATGTGTTATTTCATAGTTTTGATATCTTCACTATTATTCTACAATGTAGAAAATAGTAAAAATAAAGGAAAACCCTTGAATGAGTAAGTGTGTCCAAACTTTTGACTGGTACTGTAAGTATTCACACCCCTTTACTATGACTCTAAATTGAGCTCAGTTGCATCCAATTACGACACTACAACTTGATTGGAATCCACCTGTGGCCAATTCAATTGTTTGGACATTATTTAGAAACAAACAAACCTGTCTATATAGGGTCCCACAGTTGACAGTGTATCTCAGAGCAGAAACTATACCATGAAGTCCAAGGAACTGTCCGTAGCACTCCGAGATATAATTGTGATGAGGTATAGATCTGGGGAAGGGTATAAAACAATTTCTAAAGTGGTGAAAGTTTCCAAGAGCACAGTGGTCTCCATCATTGGGAAATTTAAAAAACATGGAAGTACCCAGACTCTGCCTAGAGCTGGCTGTCCAACCAAAATGAGCAAGAAGGACCTTGGTCAGGGAGGTGACCATGAACCCAATGACCACACTGACAGAATTACAGAGTTCCTTTGCTGAGATGGGAGAACCTGCCAGAAGGACAACAGTCTCTACAGCACTTACCCAATCTGGTAGAGTGGCCAGACAGAAGCCACTCCTGAGAAAAAAGCACATGACTGCACACCTGGAGTTTGCAAAAAGGCACATGAAAGACAGAGCATAAGGCAAAATATTCTGTGGTCTGATGAGACAAAAATGTAACTCTTTGACCTGAATGCAAAACGCAATGTCTGGAGAAAATCAGGCACAGCTCATCACCCGTCTAACACCATCCCTACCGTGAAGCATGGTGGTGGCAGAATCATGCTATGGGGATGCTTTTCAGCGGCAGGGTCTGGGAGACTGGTAAGGATAGAGCAATGAATGGAGCCAAATACAGGCAAATCCTTGATGAGAACCTGCTTCAGGGTGCAAACGACCTTAGACTGGGGCGAAGATTTACGTTCAAACAGGACAATGACCCCAAGCATACAGCCAAAGCAATGCTGGAATGGCTTCAGAACAAGAATATGAAAGTCCTTGAGTGGCACAGCCAAAGCCAAGACTTGAATCCCACTGAAAATCTGTGGAAAGACATGAAGATTGCTGTTCACCGCCACTCCCCATCTAATTTAACAGCGCTTGAGAAAATATGCAAGGAAGAATGGGAGAAAATCTCAAAATCCAAATGTGCAAAGCTGATAGACATACCCAAGACGACTCAAAGCTGTAATCGGCGCCAAAGGTGCTTCTTCAAAGTATTGACTCAGGGGTGTGAATACTTATGTAAATGAGATCTGTATTTCATGTTCAATACATTTACAAAAAAGTCTAAAAACATGTTTTCGCGTTGTCATTATGGGGTATTGTGTGTAGATGGGTGAGAATAAAATCTATTTGATCCATTTTGAATTCAGGCTGTAACAACAAAATGTGGAATAAGTCAAGGGGTATGAATACTTTCTGAAGGCACTATATAGCTTGCTGTATAACATCATATCAAGACAATTACATTCACAACATCAGTCCTCAAGTCATACATCCATTAGAAAGAAACATAAAACACAATCATAGACTAAAATGCAACAGATTAATGTACACATGTACAGCAGAAACTTACCTTGTTTCCTTCGTAGAAGTAGAATGACTGAAATCCTCTGGACTTGGGGAAGGGGGGATGAAATCTAGGTCTTCATCTAGCTCGGACTTGTCATCAAGGTCTATGACATCTGTGTCACCTAGAAAGTTTTGGGAGATGAGTTGATGTCTTTTCAATGCTGATGTAATTCTTTATCAACACCCTGCCAAGATGTTCATCCTTAAAGGAAAACTCCACCCCAAAACTATCTTTTGGCATCTGTTTCATTAGTCCATTGTTGATATAGTCCCAAAATGTTTTGCATGTCAGCAATCACGTTTTCAAGATACATAACTTAAATACAGCCGATATGATGCAATACGCAGCATCATATGATGTTTTGGATCATATGACACTAAATGCATCATACCAGCTGTATTTCTGTATGTTGAAAGTTATATATCTTGAAAACATGATTGCTGATATGCAAAACATTTTGGGACTATATCAACAATAGATTCATGAAACAGATACCAACTACTCACCTGTCTTTTCAACTGGACCGGGTGCAGTGATGCTCTCATCTTCACTGTCACTCAGCACAGACTTGGCCTGAGCAGCAGGAGGTCGTCTTCTAACCATTTTAATGGGAGAATCCTCCACCTCCCAGTCCTTCCAGTGTGCTGGATCCTGGATGGGACTGTCTCTTGGAGCAGTATTGGCAGACTCCAAAGCATCTTGTGAGTCCTCTATTGTGAGAGTACATTGTTCTGTTCCAGCAAGACTACACTTATTTCTATGACGGCTGTTGATCTTTGTATTCAGTGCTCGTAGAGGGACATCTTTGTCTGATCCATGTGTGTTAGTATCCAATTGTTCAACACTAGAAACAGATGTCACCTTGGCACTCCTACCTGAGATCCCTGGGCTTGGTAAAGTACTTTTGCCCTTGACAGGGGTTTCAAAGTCATCAAAATCATCCCATCCGTCCAGGGGAATACCAAAAGAGCTATCAAGTCCTGTGGGTTTGCTGCCATTGCTACCTGTGATCAAGCTATCAGATTTGGTCAAAGCAGGGGAGATCTTTGTAGCGGACACAGCTGGGTTGGTTTTCCTCACCGAAAAGGGGTTTAATACAGGATTGATGGCTTCGTACTTGCTTTTGGGATTGACTGAGGAGAAGTTGATTTTGGCGAGAGGTCTTTCAGGCTTGGTTGAAAACATCAAAGGAGGTTTAGTTACTGCATTATCATGAGGAACATTGGCACTCCTGTTTGTTAAACCATTTGAGCTGTTTACCTTAGTGGGAACTTCCACCTTGGTGATGCCTGATGTGGACTTCTTTTTGAAACAAAATGTCCTGCAAAGAAAAGGGAAGTCATTATAGCTAATTACATTTTAGTAATTTAGCAGACACTCTTATCCAGAAAATCCTTATCTGGAAAGCTACCTACTTTAGTCAGTATATTGTGCATAGCACTCTGCTGGCTGCTGACTTTTAGCTAGCTCTGGTCCATGCGCATGCGTTGGATACGTATTTGTATTTTTGTGTGTGTATTTTATTACGGATCCCCATTAGCTGCTGGGGTCCAATCACCATTACATAAAATAAAACAGTACATAACACAACACATTACACAATACTCTACCATAACATATCTACAATACAAAAATCAATAATACAACAAAATAACAATATTAAAGGAAAAATCCACCCCAAACCACACATTCCTTTAATTTACAGTGTTAAATAACACTAATATGTGAGACCAATATTTTTTGTGAACAAATGTTTAATTTTGGTATTATAATAAGGTTGGCAGCAACATGGAAAATCGTTGTGGAAATCTGTTGCAGCTCAAGTCGACTACAAAATCCACAATGCAATGCTCTCTCTATGGCCTGGCTGGCTAGCTAGCTACGTAGCTAGCAAAAGTAGCTACACAAAATAATACCAAAGACAATATCAGCATGTGAAGTAGCTAGTTATCTGTAAAATCGCATAAACAAACTGCACTCTCAATTTAGGAGTCTACAATCTCACCATGTTCAACCTGCAGATCAATGTGCCTCACAGAGTGGAGTATGACATTCGCAACTGCAGATATACTTTTGAGGAGATGGGAAACGTTGCCCATGCTACGTCTATGGGTCACGCGGTGCATTCTGGGCAATTATGGGACAAGGAGCACTCTCCTTCAAGGAGTGAATGGGAGTTTATTGGGCACCAGCTCAAAAAAACAACAGTAGCACGAATTTCATCAACAAGAAGTACAAAATTACAAATATTTTCAGAGATGTGAGATAATTAATTACTATCTATAATATCGTATAGCTTTGGAATCGTGACATTACGTACTTTCGAGGAAAATAGGCACGTTTCTCGACATATACACTAACTTTGAGAAGGGATTGCGTGACGATTAGCTAAGCAACCGTGTGACGCAGCATGACAATGTGAACGCGATTGGTTGACAGTCTGCTGGGTGGGGCATTATATGTCCCTTCATTCATTGGATTCTCCTTTCTATAATATCTCGTAACGGCACCATGCAATGCGCCCTGGACTAAAGAGCCAGACAAATAGGGAAAATGTGCTAGACCCTCGGTTAAATTACACATTTCTCGACGTAGGAATATCGCAAAAAATATGATCAATGGCTCATTCGAGAGAAGACATCCTTCCGAGTTATGACATCGGCCAGTATTGAAATCTGACATGTATGATAGACATTTTCGCGATCTAAAAGTCAAGTATTCCTATTAACTTCCAGTGTAGTGAGAGTGACTATCACAGTGCTATGTCACACTGGCCGGATTTCTGCCTGCTTTAACGCCAATAACTCAAATACACATGAAAACATGAAATGACCAAGGGAATCGATAGAACAGCACTCAGAGATGCACACAAACAATATAACATTCAAAATGGGTGAACCGTCCCTTTAAAATGTATGTGTGTTTATAGAGTGCATGTGTGTGTGCCTGTGTCTTCACAGTCTGCTGTTCCATAAGGTGTAGTTTTATCTGTTTGTTTTTTAATCTGATTTTACTCCTTGACTGAGTTACCTGATGTAGAATAGAGTTCCATGTAGTCATGGCTCTATGTAGTACTGTGCGTTTCCCGTAGTCTGTTCTGGACTTGGGGACTGTGAAGAGACCTCTGGTGGCATGTCTTGTGGGGTATGTATGTATGGGTGTCTGAGCTGTGCGCTAGTTGCTTAAACAGACAGCCTGTGATTTGAAAATGTCAATCAATACCTCTCACAAAGGCAAGCAGTGATGGAGTCAATCTCTCCTCTACATGCATATTATTAATGTTGGCTCTCCTTGTACATTTAAGGGCCAGCCGTGCTGCTCTGTTCTGGGCCAAATGTAATTTGTCCATGTCCCTCTTTGTGGCACTTGACCATATGACTGGACAGTAGTCAAGGTGCGACAAAACTAGGGCCTGTAGTACCTGTTTTGTTGATAGCGAGATATTTAAAGAAAGCAGAGCAGCGCCTTATTATGGACAGACACCTCCCTGTCTTAACTACCGTAGCATCAATGTTTTGACCATGACAGTTTACAATCCAGGGTTACACCACGCAGTTTAGTCTCCTCAACTTGCTCAATTTCCACATTATTCATTACAAGATTTAGTTGAGGTTTAGGTAAATGATTTGTCCCAAATACAATGCTTTTAGTTTGAAATATTTAGGCTGTTTGTAACGAAAGAACCGACGCATGCGCATGGACCAGAGTTAATGTGACAGTACAAAATATGTATCTTATTTTGGAACTATTTCCACGTTCACTTACTGGTCGGAACTAGGAAACTCGGAAATGTCCGACTTGCTAACTGGTTGACGCGGCACATTTACAAAATTAACTACAACCAGTTACTGTAGTTTCTCGAAAATTTCAGAGTTTCAAATCAAATCAAATTTTATTTGACACATGCGCCGAATACAACAACAGGTGTAGACCTTACAGTGAAATGCTTACTTACAAGCCCTTAACCAACAATGCAGTTAAGAAAAAATTTACTAAATAAACTGAAATAAAAATAAAATAGAAAAATAAATTATTAAAGAGCAACAATAAAATAACAGTAACGAGGCTATATACAGGGGGTACCCGTACAGAGTCAATGTGCGGGGGCACAGGTTAGTCCTAGTTGCGACTAGCACGTGAACGCAGCACATAAAGAAGGCTTGCGCATAAATAGGAAAGTTCATCCCCACTATAACATATATTTAGTTTTGTGAATGAAGCCGGTTCAACAGAGCGTTGAAGCCGCCCTAACTGTTAACTAGCTAGCTAACGTTATACAATCTCTAGCTAGCTAATTAATCAAGATACGTACCCTGGTGTGGGTTTGGACAACGACAGTTTGCGCTGAGCAGCATTGCTATGTCTCTCGAGTTGTTCCTTCAAATTATTTTGAGGAAGACTGGACATCATCAGCTGGGCTAGCGTCTCAACGTTAGCATTCCTAATAGCTAGCTAGCTAGTCTTGTAATTTCGCGAGACACCACTTGTGCAGTCTGTGGACGTATTATTGTCGTGGTCTGTCAAAAAATATATATCTATGTTGTTGTCTTGCTAGCTATAGCTAATTTACAAAAAAAGAAATCAATTCAGCAACCAAAGGCAAAGAGGGTGTATGTTTTAGCGCCGTTTTGACTAGATGGCTTCCCATTGGCTGAGAAACTGATTTCCTGTTACGGTCCTGGTCATCATGGGAAATGTAGTCAAAGATAGAAGGCCTAGGCTATCTGGCTACATGCAGAGAGGAATATACAGTATTTAGGCAAAAAGGCCCGAGGGTGTGTGGTATATGGCCAATATACTACGGTAACGCTTTGAACACAGCGACTGTGTGATTTTGCGTTTTGGTACACCAGAAGTACATTCATTTCCAATGGAACACTGCGTTTGCCTTGCAGCATTGCGTTGCAGAGGCAGTTGCAGTGCGTTCTGTGTGGTGCATACTTTGGATTTATCGAACGTAAGCATCAAACTGTATGGGTTATTCTTCGAACACACCGACTGCGTCATTACGCAAAATAGTATGCAGCATCATCTAGATATGTGTGCAACAAAAGTTCAACATTCACCTTCTGCTACCATTTCTGTCAACCCGTTTACACATACAGTTTACGCATACGTTCGATAAATCCAACATATGCACCACACAGAACGCAACGCAAAGCTGCAAGGTAAGTAGCGGAAATGAATGTACTTCTGGTGTACCAAAACGCAATGTCGGTGTGTTCGAGCATAAGGGCTGTACTTACGCAGAGTGCCTGGTTACAGCCCCTTATGGCTATATACCACTAACCCCCGAGGTGCCTTACTACTATTATAAACTAATTACCAACGTCATTAGAACAGTAAACAAGTAGTTTGGCGACATACTCATGGTATATTTAACCGGAACTGAGTACCAGCACCTTGCATTTTCTAACACTTCAGCTCCTGTTCCTCTTATAGAGTATTAGCTCAAAAGTATTGTGGAGCTCCTGCACCAAAATGTAAACAGTACCGGTATCCAAAATCAGTATCAGCACTGTTGGTGAACACATAATAAGGAGAGGGAGTACAAACCATCGACGCTAGACAGAGAGGAATTTGCTTAATGCAAAAAGGCAGTTTATTAAAACAGAGAGATCTTGTCCTGCTCAAGCTACATGCATGGACCCCAATCAATTGCCTCTTATGGAGACAGTTGAGAAGGATGATTAAAACAGAGTTTACAGCATTACTTTATACAATGTAACATAAAGGAAGGGGTCCTTCTTCTAGTCCCTTGATTGGTTCCCGAGGCGTAGGAGGCGGGTCTGCTCTGTCCAGAGCAGATGCCCCATTGGTGCACGGCAGAGTCCTCTGCCCTTGGCACCCGACCAGTAGACAGGGGAGTTGAGAATGAGTGTGCGTGCAAATGAAATGTCTTGTGTGTGTCCAGGGAACTCGTGAGGCCTGAGAATGAGTGTGCGTAAGAAATGAAATATTGGTGTGTGTCAAGAGAAAGTGGTGGGGAGTAACTGGTGGTTTATGGCCGGAGAGGGGGTGTTGTCCTGTTATCGCATTCCTGCAAGACTAGGTCATCTGGTGAGAAGATAAGGTGTTCTCCTCTGTCCTTTGTTCTCTGACCTGGAACAGCATTTATTGAAAACAAGCTCCTAACACAAATTGGTCTTTGCACAACATTTTAGTCAGACCAATCTATAACATTTTATATTTACTACGACAAATTATATTTACTACGACAGCACCTATTTCAGTTCAAGCACTGGCAATAAGGCCAGTATACCTGGGCTAAGGGCTGTTCTTATGCATGATGAAATGCGGAGTGCCTGGATACAGCCCTTAGCTGTGGTATATTGGCCATATACTAAAAACCCCAGCGGTGCCTTATTGCTATTATAAACTGGTTAGCAACGTAATTAGAACAATAAAAATAAATGTTCTGTCATACCCAGGGTATACGGTCTGATATACCACAGCTTTCACCCAATCAGCATTAAGAGCTCGAACCACCCAGTTTATGTCTGATATACTACGGCTTTCAGCCAATCAGCATCCAGAAGCTAGACTGTACACTATATAAACAGCATCATCACACAGTCTTATCTGAATTCAAAATGTGTCGCTCATCAAATTGTGACAAAGAAATCGAGAAAACCTTTATTCACAAACATGAAATCAGTTTTAAAAAACTATTTTCAATATTAAAATCATAACAATCTTCATGTCAGCACAATAATCAAATCAACCAAATCCTGATTAAAAACAGTAGATGTGCAGTGGGGAGTGTTTCTCCCAGTATATAATCAGACTCCCTGAGGTGGTGAGCAAACAGATACAAATCAAACCATATCATTGATATAACATTTTAACTGATAATGAAATATTTGGCTCCATGTCCCTTTTTCCAGTACTCTTGCCCCCATGGCGCGCAGAATTCAATGTTCACAGCACAGGAAGGGGATAAGATGAGCAGGCGGCCAGTCCACACATGTTTTTCCCACGCTCAATGAAGAAATATCTGTGAAAACAGCACAAAGTACTGCATCATAACACTGTTCTGTTACATAACATTGTGCCAATACTGTTCACAATGTCATCCTACTTTTGTCATTGAAGTCTTACCCTTTCATTCCCCAGCTGCTTCCCCAGGAGTTCTTCACTATCCAGTAGGGTGTGCCCTTCTCCTCACCATACCCCACAGCCAGCACTGCATGATTCACTGTGTCTGTGGTGTTGTGGCACTCCATGCTACAATAAGAGAAGTGGAGAGGGAGAATACAAGGCCATAGTTTATATTATATAGAAAGAAGAAGTCATGCAAAATCTACATATCTATTTGTATTGCTTTCTGATGCTGGTACATGAGGAAGACTGGTTTCTTCTGGTTGTATGGTAGGTAGGCTACAGCTGTGAGTCCTGTTTTTGACTGTGCGAATTGGAAAATATGCAACATAGCTCTTAAGGCACAGATATGATCCTTATTCTAGGTTTAACAACATAGCAGAGACTCATTCTCACCTGGTGTACACACCACCATCGTAATGCATGAAATCAGAGGTCACCTCATAGGCAAGGCTGACAGGGTTGTATCTGGCCACTGCATCCAGCATACCCATTTCATCATACTGCAATGGAATAAATACACAATAAACTGACTGCCTGGGTAGTCAATGCACCAAATAATCCAGAGCAATTTGCATTTACTTACCCTTGTTATGTTGACCACTTCCTTAACAAAAGCAGCAGCCAAATCAGTCTTGAACTTGCAAGTGTCATCCTTCAAAATGATTCCAACATAAATTATGTTAATATATTGTCACCGTTTGAAGTGCTAGTGCTGTAGTTATAAAGATGGCATTGCTGTTTACATACATGTGCAGTGTATGGATAGTCATCCTCTGTCATGAGTCCCTTGTTATACTTGATGTACTCAAATGCTTGACTGGGGAGACCGCTAAAATAAAAAAAATTCAGAGCCTCAGTAAGATTTTAAGTGTCCAGTAAGACCAAGAAATTGTGTGAATATATAATACAAGGAAATGTGTTGTCCAGTGGTGACGCTCACCCCTTACAGCCGTGGTTGTTGAAGGCCTGAGCACAGTCCACTAGTTGCTGCTCTGACTGAACAATATAAAGGCAGCAGCAGTTGGATAAAATATACTTTCATTATTCAAGATCAGAGATAGGACAAGAATTTCAATTAATTCCAAAATGTATTGCAACTACTAGCCTTAAACACAATTGTAAAAATTGTATTGAATTGCCTCAGCAAAAGGAGGCTAGCTTTCCTTCCCACTTCATTTTTTAGAATAGAGAAGTAGATAAGAAAGTATCTCACCAGTTGTAGGAGTTTCCCTGTTGCGATTGCTGTGACTGACTCCAAACAGCCTGTAGTGGAAAAGGTCCAGCAGCTACCACAGGGCCCCTGAACACCACAAATCAACATCTACCTTCAGCACATACAGTAGTCTTCCACGTAAGCATCTTTACCTTGCCAGATAATGCATGATTTTTATCCTTAGAAAATGCATCCTATACTGTATGTCTAAGGATACCTGGTTCTTCACGTCTGTGACATAGTGCCCCTTCTTTCTCCAGTCGACCGAATCTGGATATGGTCCATTGCTGCTCACATGACTCCCTTTAGTGGCAGAACAGTTCTATGAAAAACAGTCAATTAAAATGTGTTTTTCAAGTAAAAATCATGAGAAGTATACATAACAGGAACATAAATACCTGGGGCTCAGTCAAGAGAAAAGATTTTCTGAATTCAGCAAACGTCAGGTCAGAGAACTGATTCAGTCCCACTAGGTAAAGAGGTCAAATGTCAGAAGAAGACTGAATTAATATGCTACACAGGAGGTTGGTGGCACCTTAATTGGGGAGAATGGGCTCGGGGTAATGGCTTCCATGTGTTTGATGCCATTCCATTCGCACCGTTCTAGCTATTATTATGAGCTGTCCTCCCATCAGCAGCCTCCACTGATCATACTCAAAGGATATGGACACTTCTAACATCTGAAGAAACCCAAGCATAATGCAATTTTTCATACTTGTGAACTTGTGATTTCCTTCATTGTGATGGTCAATCCTCCTCTTGTTCTCACTGAAGATCTGAAGTCTGTGGTAGAACTCCTCAATGTCATACACCTTGTTGTACTGCATGGGTGACACAGTAACACCTCAAAATTCAGGTCATTGTGATTTTACTCTTTTTTTATGTAGATACAGTGCATTTCAATTTGCATTAGATAAGACACTCGATATCTGTCTAGTAGCCTAGTTTATCAGTAATTCCATACAGACTATTGCAGTTGAAAATAAAATGTATTCTATCTATAGGGCTTAGTAGTATGATGACAATATTCTGCAATATTTATAATTTTAAATTAATACTTTTTGCAGACAGATATGAAGAAGAAAAAACTGAAAACACTTCCTTGTATTGTAGGAAAGTACCTGGTTTCGAGCCAAATCGAACTTACCTGTGACATCCATAACTTAAAGTGATATTCGTCTGTAAAGAAAACAGACAATGAACATTTGATTTGAGATTGTAAAGATCAATAGGCTAAAAGCCATTCTTCTATCAGTCGTTCTGATCACAAATGTGATGTTGATAAAACAATCGAAATGATTAATTTGAAAGTGAAAGCGCAAATTTGGTTATCATTTCGAATCAACATAGCCTAAAACAAATGCAATTGCAACTTACTCTCTTCAGAAAACGGATATAAAGAAGTAACAGAGTATACGGCAAATAACAACAAAACTAAGACCTTCATACTTCAAAGTTTTCTAAAGCTGTTGTCTTCCTGCAAAAAAACAAAACAGTGAATGAACTACACGTAGTCACGAGGTTTTAAACCTGCTATTGAGTCCTATGATCACTTCCCGACTTTCCCGTGACCGCGCAAAATGTGACGAAGTATACGCTGAACTTGTTGCTGAAGTGTGTGTGTGTCTGTGTGTGATAGAGGGGGTGGGGGTGGGGGGTTGGAGAAAAGAGAGATAGAAAAATGTCATTGTTTTCTCACAAACACACTTGAGACAACAATGCCCCTGAGATAGAATAGATTTATTAGCAAGAGGTAATCAGGAAACACACATTTTTTATTTTTTATAAAACTGGAAATATTTCTCAAGCCGTGGAAATAAACATAAGGGTTGAAAGATAATTCTCATACCACTGGGTATTGCTAACAGCAAAACGTTTGTTTGTTAATATTTCATTTATAAGAGTATGTGCACGTATAAGTGTGTACAGTATATATAAGTATATATATTGTTTTGTTTTAATATTGTCTGATAGTGTTGCATGCCTGCCACATGAGCTTTAAATGTTTCTAGACTGTACATGGTAGAAATACATACAAATATTCACAGAATAAGCACTACATTACTATATTCCTGCTAAGAGAATGATTATAGACAGGATTACAGTATATGCAAAACACTTTGAAGTTGTCTTCTACCTCTAAGTCATGGTTTCAAAATCACAATTGTTGTAGCATTTTGTGTTAAAGCTTGGGATACAATGCTTTTCAGAGGTGTACTTGACACTGTTCCACATTAAGAAATATGCAGGGCTGCATGTACAAAATGTACAGAATACATTTCAGCAAGGTGAATTAACAACAACAAAGTACAAAATACTTCCCTGTGTTCATGTATCCCCTTCCCTTATACTAATACTACAAAAATACCTTTTGAATGCTGCAGGCGGAGTAACTCATTCACTTACTTTTATCATACTCTTAAACAACAATGCATTTAACAGAGTGATATACGGTCACGTTCCACAATCACTGGAACAGCAAAAGGACATAGATTGTCTTTGAATTATACAGTATAATAGCTGAACAACCTTGTACTGTACACAAATATCACAAAGCCTGAAAATACTACAATTTCAAGGGTTTTGCTTTATTTTTCTTAAAAATGTGTGCTCCGTTTAGTTTAAATTGAAAGCAAATGAACATGTGGTTTGAAAAAGGGAAACGGCTACATATATCATTCTACAATGGCATGCTCCAAGAATAGCAGCAAAATGGTTTCAACATATTCATCCCCAAACTCCCCACTGGGCACATACTGGTTGAATCAACATTGTTTCCATGTAATTTCAATGAAATTACATGGAACCAATGTGGAATAAACGTTAAATTGACGTCTGTGCCCAGTGAGTCATAGTCAAACAAGATGTCACCCCCAACTACTCATTGTCAAACTGGAAGTACACTTGTATTGGAGATATAAAGTACACTGTCTTATTACTGTCCCTTCAAATTGCATGGATTAATAGAGCTTATTCTGCAAAACAAAATCAAATTCATGGCTACTTGACTTGAATTACTTTTGCAAATATATAGCAAGAGGTTTGTGATTTAACTGCCTGTTACAATGAAACATGCAACATTAATGAAATAAAGCTACAAATATTGTTAATCATCTTCTAGGTTAGGCTGTATTCACACAGGACTTAACATTGTTTTCAAAACAAACCAAACCTTGCTGGTTCTTAGATAAAAGGCTCTGTCGTAGCCGGCCGTGACCGGGAGACCCATGGGGCGGCGCACAATTGGCCCAGTGTCGTCCAGGGTAGGGGAGGGAATGGCCGGCAGGGATGTAGCTCAGTTGGTAGAGCATGGCGATTGCAACGCCAGGGTTGTGGGTTCAATTCACACATAATAATGTATGCACTCACTAACTGTAAGTCGCTCTGGATAAGAGCGTCTGCTAAATGACTAAAATGTAAATGTATAAAAGCTTGTGGTGTGAACATGCCCTTATATATGAGTTATTATTTTCAGAGCAGATTCAGTACTGTGCTGCAAATCAGTAGCTTCTACTAAGAGCAGGTGTTTCCTGTATCAGGCAAGGGTATTATCTTGTTATGTAAGAATCACTCCTCATGATGACAAGACAAAGCTCTGTGGTGCTAGTAGCTTTCACATCTCTGTCACAACTGTGACAAGATGACTCAAATGTTGATAGATACAAAAAGTAAATAAACAAAGCAGGGCTGAGGCGGAATTGATATAGAACAAATCAAGGAACACTCATTGGTTTAGCCGCATCAATTTGGGGGTAAAAAATGTCAATGTTGTTTTACCTGGTTTGATTTTTACAATGCTACATCAGTTGCAGATAAACACATATCTATTTGAGTAAAGAGAACAATCTTTCCTATGTACAATATGATCCTGGCAGCATGTGTGCTTACAGGAAGCCCACAGTATGAAAAGATGTCAATCAATTTCATTGGTTACAAAGGACATACCATTATACAAGATCATTGTGACTTTACTTATCACTCTAATAAGCCCAGTGAAATGGTCCTTGTTGCAGAGGAAAATGAAATATTTCAACAACAATGTGACGATTAAATTAACATGTGTACATAAGACTTCTAAAAACAATACACGTATAAGAGCAAACATGTCAAACATGACTTAACACCAGTTATTGTTTATGTCTACTGTATATGACATACAGTGGGGAAAAAAAGTATTTAGTCAGCCACCAATTGTGCAAGTTCTCCCACTTAAAAAGATGAGAGAGGCCTGTAATTTTCATCATAGGTACACGTCAACTATGACAGACAAAATGAGAAAAAAATATCCAGAAAATCACATTGTAGGATTTTTAATGAATTTATTTGTAAATTATGGTGGAAAATAAGTATTTGGTTAATAACAAAAGTTTCTCAATACTTTGTTATATACCCTTTGTTGGCAATGACACAGGTCAAACGTTTTCTGTAAGTCTTCACAAGGTTTTCACACACTGTTTCTGGTATTTTGGCCCATTCCTTCATGCAGATCTCCTCTAGAGCAGTGATGTTTTGGGGCTGTCGATGGGCAACACGGACTTTCAACTCCCTCCAAAGATTTTCTATGGGGTTGAGATCTGGAGACTGGCTAGGCCACTCCAGGACCTTGAAATGCTTCTTACGAAGCCACTCCTTCGTTGCCCGGGCGGTGTGTTTGGGATCATTGTCATGCTGAAAGACCCAGCCACGTTTCATCTTCAATGCCCTTGCTGATGGAAGGAGGTTTTCACTCAAAATCTCACGATACATGGCCCCATTCATTCTTTCCTTTACACGGATCAGTCGTCCTGGTCCCTTTGCAGAAAAACAGCCCCAAAGCATGATGTTTCCACCCCCATGCTTCACAGTAGGTATGGTGTTCTTTGGATGCAACTCAGCATTCTTTGTCCTCCAAACACGACGAGTTGAGTTTTTACCAAAAAGTTCTATTTTGGTTTCATCTGACAATATGACATTCTCCCAATCCTCTTCTGGATCATCCAAATGCACTCTAGCAAACTTCAGACGGGCCTGGACATGTACTGGCTTAAGCAGGGGGACACGTCTGGCACTGCAGGATTTGAGTCCCTGGCGGCGTAGTGTGTTACTGATGGTAGGCTTTGTTACTTTGGTCCCAGCTCTCTGCAGGTCATTCACTAGGTCCCCCCGTGTGGTTCTGGGATTTTTGCTCACCGTTCTTGTGATCATTTTGACCCCACGGGGTGAGATCTTGCGTGGAGCCCCAGATCGAGGGAGATTATCAGTGGTCTTGTATGTCTTCCATTTCCTAATAATTGCTCCCACAGTTGATTTCTTCAAACCAAGCTGCTTACCTATTGCAGATTCAGTCTTCCCAGCCTGGTGCAGGTCTACAATTTTGTTTCTGGTGTCCTTTGACAGCTCTTTGGTCTTGGCCATAGTGGAGTTTGGAGTGTGACTGTTTGAGGTTGTGGACAGGTGTCTTTTATACTGATAACAAGTTCAAACAGGTTGCATTAATACAGGTAACGAGTGGAGGACAGAGGAGCCTCTTAAAGAAGAAGTTACAGGTCTTTGAGAGCCAGAAATCTTGCTTGTTTGTAGGTGACCAAATACTTATTTTCCACCATAATTTGCAAATAAATTCATTAAAAATCCTACAATGTGATTTTCTGGATTTTTTTTCCTCAATTTGTCTGTCATAGTTGAAAATTACAGGCCTCTCTCATCTTTTTAAGTGGGAGAACTTGCACAATTGGTGGCTGACTAAATACTTTTTTTCCCCACTGTAGTTCTTTAACAGAGAGTACACTTTGGGAAACTGTCATCCTCTTCAGTTGTTGACTTTAGGCTCAATTCTGAGAGAGGCTTCATACAGGCTTTCTTCATCCAGAACAGAGCTGTTGTCCAGCAAATACTGTGCTGCCTAGACCAGGACAAATATACAGTTTCAGCAAGTTGGCTCCTACTACGATAATCTATACGATCTGACAAATACGGACACTGAGGATTTACCTCATGGCCATTGCCATTTTCTTCTGTTTCTCCTCTCTCTATATCTAGAGCTTTAAAAGTTTACCTTTGGCTGATGATCAATCTTGTATGCTGTTTGCTGGAATTGTCTAATTTCTCTGATGATATGGGAAATCTGCAGAGAGAGAACAACAGAAGCCATGTAAATATGCCATGTATACAATGTATACAATACAAAGCCACAGAATACATTTTAATATCTCTGTAACATTACACACAGCAGAGACCGCTTACCATCCTCATCTTTGAGAAGTTGACTAATTTGTCCTCAGTGTAATTGGGCGTCCCCTCCTCAATGAAAGCCAGATCAGTGAGGTACATCCCCAGATATGGTACACAGGGAGGGTCACAGCTACAAGGAAAAACAGAAGAGTAGGATGTCACCAATTTGCCAATACCTTGATTGATCCACTGTCTGAATGGCCAGTACCATTTGTCTGCTACACATTGGCTTTTGTAGTTATTAGAACAAGCAGAAGAAACACTCACTTCTTTAAAGCTTCTCTCAGGTTTTTGAACCTCCCCTCTGATGAAACCAACTTCTGCAGCTTGTCAATTACTGTTTTAGTCTGAGGGATGAAATAAAATACTGTATAACAAATATTCTGTTGGAAAACATCCAGGTACAGTATAATCAACATTGTTAAAGTGATGTGTAATCTGTAATAAGCAATAAGGATTCATAGAGGTCTGAGGTGTCATAACAAGCTGTTTATAAGAGTGTATTGAGGTCCCAGTGCAATGATAAAACATGTAGTAATATTACTAGGACCACGCTACGGGCCCTCAGTGAGCTGGGTGTGTAGTGGGAAATGTGGCCACCTGCTTGGACACTTTGAGCCAGGTCTTCTTGAGGCGGAACACAGAGCTGCGGTTGAGGGAGGAGGTGATCTCCAGCACAGCGTTGTAGTTATGGAGACAGCGGCAGATGTCCGCCACCGCCACCCACTTCTCCATCACTGCCACCCGCGTGGTCACGTCGTCACAACGCAGGATCTCCGTGGCAATCAGGTTACTGATCTAACAGAGGCAAGACAGACAAGGAATAGCCATGTTCCTAATGCATAACAACCAAAGCCACACACTGTAAGAAAAAGTGAAAATGTACAGTGGTAATATTATGTTGGGGGGTGGGCGTTGTTGGCTGCATACATCATTGAAATGTTTTGTTGTTTTCATGATATATGGTGTCCTTTCATTCTTGTCATTCTTCATCCACCCTTGACCAAAGAACTCTCTGTAAAACAATATTGGAAGATCAAGTAGAAAAACATCTAATTTATTCTCATTAATACAGCATTGTTGTTGTTTAAAAATCACTGTATGTCTCCCATATTGTACAGTGCATTTGGAAAGTATTCAGAGCCCTTGACATTTTCCACATTTTGTTACGTTACAGCCTTATTCTAAAATGAATTAAATAAAACATTTTACTCATCAATCTACACACAATACCCCATAATGACAAAGCAAAAACAGGTTTTTGGAAATTGTAGCAAATGTATTAAAAATAAAAAACTGAAATACCTTACTTACAAAAGTATTCTGACCATTTCCTATGAGACTCAAAATTGAGCTCAGGTGCATCCTGTTTCCATTGATCATGCTTGAGATGTTTCTACAACTTGATTGGAGTCCACCTGTGGTAAATTCTATTGATTGGACATGATTTGGAAAGGCAGACACCTGTCTATATAAAGGTTCCACAGCTGACAGTGCATGTCAGAGCAAAAACCAAGCCATGAGGTCAAAGGAATTGTTCGTAGAGCTCTGAGACAGGATTGTGTCGAGGTACAGATCTAGGGAATGGTACCACAAAATGTCTGCAGTATTGAAGGTCCCCAAGAACACAGTGGCCTCCATCATTCTTAAATAGAAGAAGTTTGGAACCACCAAGACTCTTCCTAGAGCTGGCCGCCCGGCCAAACGGAGCAATCGGGGGAGAAGGGCCTTGGTCAGGGAGGTGACCAAGAACCCGATGGTCACTCTGACAGAGCTCCAGAGTTCCTCTGTGGAGATGGGAGAACCTTCCAGAAGGACAACCATCTCTGCAGCACTCCACCAATCAGGCCTTTATGGTAGAGTGGCCAGACGGAAGCCACTCCTCAGTAAAAGGCACATGACAGCCCATTTGGAGTTTGCCAAAAAGCACCTAAAGACTCTCAAGACCATGATAAATAAGATTCTCTGCTCTGATGAAAACAAGATTGAACTCTTTGGCCTGAATGCCAAGCGTCACGTCTGGAGGAAACCTGGCACCATCGGTGAAGCATAGTGGTGGCATCATCATGCTGTGGGGATGTTTTTAAGCGGCAGGGACTGGGAGACTAGCCAGGATCGAGGGAAAGATGAACGGAGCAAAGTACAGAGATATCCTTGATGAAAACCTGCTCCAGAGTGCTCAGGACCTCAGACTGGGGCGAAGGTTCACCTTCCAACAGGACAACGAACCTAAGCACACAGCCAAGACAACACTGGAGTGGCTTCGGGACAAGTCTCTGAATGTCTTTAAGTGGCCCAGCCAGAGCCTGGACTTGGACCCGATCGAACATCACCGGAGAGACCTGAAAATTGCTGTGCAGCGACGCTCCCAATCCAACCTGTCAGCGCTTGAGAGGATCTGTAGAGAAGAATGGGAGAAACTCCCCAAATACAGGTGTGCCAAGCTTGTAGCGTTATACCCAAGAATACTCAAGGCTGTAATCGCTGACAAAGGTGCTTCAACAAAGTACTGAGTAAAGGATCTGAATACTTATGCAAATGTGATATTTCAATTACTTTTTGTATTTTTTTTAATTTGCAAAATTTTCTAAAAACCTGTTTTTGCTTTGTCATTATGGGGTATTGTGTGTAGATTGATTAAGAAAAAAAACAATTGAATCAATTTTAGAATAAGGCTGTAAAATGTGGAAAAAGTCCGAATGTACTGTATGTCTGTATTTCAGCTGTATCACTCAGTGTCACTCACTCGTATGGGATGACCTTAAAGACCAGGTGGTCCAGTAGGGTGAGCTGCTCTGCTATCTCCAGGGCAGAATGGCTCTCAAACACCTCCGCCTTCCCTACTGACGCCTAGCACACACACAACAGAGCATCACCGGTAACCATTTCCAAGACGCAAGGTATGACAACTACTTCTCTATATTCAAACATTCCTGAGACACATACGTACATAATGTATGTCAAGGAGAGATTGTCCTCCTTTGACTCAATTGCCAGATACACGTGCAGTCATCCCACTCACCAGCTGTGTCACCTCCTCCAGGCTGATCTGATTGTCACCAGGGTCCTCCTGTGTCAGGGTCCTAATGGACCATACAACAGAGTCAAGTATGTATTTATAATGTGTTTCTCTTTACTCTGTACATCAGTGTTAACCAGCCCTATAGAAGTGATAGTCCATGTATTCAATGATAACAGAGTGTGTCCATAAGCTGAGGCGGCGGTAGTGCTGGTAGGTACCTGATGATGTTGGCGGCTGCTTTCCTCTCCTGGGTCAGCAGCTCCGGGTCATGCATCACCTCCTCCAGGAAGGCTATCACCTTCAGCTTCAGCTCAGTGTTACTCTCAAAGTCCTGGAGGTCAACACAAATGCTCACATAAGAGTTAACTGATTGGAAACCTGAACACTATTTGACAATAGAAGTAGTGAATTATCATGACTATGTATCTGGAAGACTTACCTGAGAGTGTTTTGACACCCAGTGTCTCAGAACATTCAGGACTCTGTTGGTTGCAGCCCTTCGGATTACAAACTCTTTGTCCCCATTCCTCTGGTCTGTTGGGAACCCTGGGGAAAATTGATCAAATATGGCATGTAAATATCACACCTACATTTTTAATGACTATATCGATTTTTTTTCTCTTGAGAACAGAAACGACATTAAAGATCTCAAGTGTTTGAAAATGTGGTGTACGCAAATTGTTCCATTGTGGACATGTTTAATACACTGTGTACCTGTGCTAGCCAGGGACATGCGGCGATACTTCTCCTTGGTGGGCGTGCCCTCATTGGCTCCTGCCGTGGCGATGGCGAAGGCAGAGGCTGCAGAGAGGGCACTGCGGTTGTTGTTGTCCATCTCAGGGCGGCACGATGACATCACCGTGCCATTATTGTAGGAAAACAGGGAGAATTCTACAGGGAGATACAATATGGAGACAGTTATACTAGCTGTAAAATGCCATGAGATTCATTTTAGTGAACTTGATTGATGCAATGTGATACCTTTACAATAAAGTGATGTAGGTATAAAATGGAGAGACCATTCCTAACCAATAAAACAGAATTACTGACATTATGACTGCACTAGGACAGCCACAAAAATTATCCATGAAAGTGTCAGCTGCATCAAATGCTCTTAATTGGTCTTTCACTACTACTTTAATAGGAACCGGAGGGAAATAGATGCAATTATAAACTGGGTGGTTCGAGCCCTGAATGCTGATTGGCTGAAAGCCATGGTATATCATACTGTATACCACGAGTATGACAAAACATTTATTTTTACTGCTCTAATTACGTTGTAAACCAGTTTATAATAGCAATAAGGCACCTCAGGGGTTTGTGGTATACGGCCAATATACCACGGCTAAGGGCTGTGTCCAGGCACTCCGCGATGCGTCGTGCATAAGAACAGCCCTTAGCCGTGGTATATTGGCCTATACCACACTCCCTTGTGCCTTATTACTTAACTATAACCTGCTCACTGAGATTTAAGAAGTTGTTGACAAAGTTTAGCAAGCAACATTAATCCTGATATGCAACTTAATGGATCTTACCCCAAAAGGCATTATCTATTTTGGCTGTGTAATTCATATTGTGTAACAGGACAGATTTGTTCATGTCTTCTGTCTCCAGTAGAGGGCAGCAACCCAAGAGCACCACATTCTATCCCAGTAGAACATAGAGACCTTACATGAGGCTTTGATATTCAAGATGGGTGTAGCTAAATATAGCCACCAATATCAGCAAAATGGAAAAATTGACTGGTTTCTCTGCACACTGTCTGCACACTGACTGACAATATACAGACATTATTGTGCGATTAATGTACAAATCAAATCAGTTGAGCTTTATGGTGAGAGTAATATGAACCTGATCTGAGTACTGTTAATGTAAATTATGTCAAGTTTCTGTTTACCTTTGCCCTGGTATACATTCTGTCCTAAGAGCTGAGCAGGGCTGTGCACAGACCTTCAGATCAACAGACTGAACCAGAATCTGGGTTAACAAAGGAGACGTTGAATATGGCATTCTCATTTAAGCCCAGGAAGTAGCCATTCAATTTGCATTTACCAGCTTTTCAAGCTTAATAATGTTGTACGTTCGGTACTTACCAAAGAATGGAGTTTCGCTGAGCCACTATAGTCATTACTGCCGTTCCGGACGGTATGTACTTCCAAAAAAGGTCTAAATAAAAAGTTGCATGCAACCGAAAAAATGCCTTGTCTGGAAATAAGAATTGTTTTTGAGCAAGTGCACATGCGCATCTTCTGCACCTTCTGCAATATTAGTAATGGAATTAAAATACACTAAATAAAGAAAATATAAATAACTGAAATATACAATAAATATACAATAACCGTAAAAACGTACCCTATATCAAATCAAATGTTATTGGACTCGCACACATATTTTGCAGATGCTTATGTTTCTAGCTCCAACAGTGCAGTAATACCAAACAATTGTCACGCCTACTCCTGCTCCCTCCAGCGCTCGACGTTGCCGGTCTACTAACCACTGGTCCTGGCAACCCACATTGCGCACACCTGGCAACCATCATTGCGCATACCTGCTCCCCATCGTTAAGCACACCACATCACCACCCTGATTACTCTCCCTTCATATAGCCCTCAGTAAGAATCAGTCATCAGGCAGTATTGGTTTTGGTTACATTCAGTACGCTGTGCCTGGTTTGTATTTTTGGCATGTTTATTATTATTAAACTCACCTTCTGCTTCCTGACTCCCTGCGTATACGTGACAGAATACTGCCTCAGAAATGATGGAAGCAGCAGAAGATTATACCATCTTCCAGACAGTCGAGGAACAGGGTCATCTATTCCACCGACACCACGACCAGCTGGCTCTACTGGGTACAACCATGAAGGAGGTCCTCCGCGTTCTCCATCGCCTCGACAATACTAGCAAGGTTTTCCATACCTCTGACGGAGGGCATCCTACCACAGGTTGTCACAGTGAGCCAGTCCCTCAGTCTACCCAGCTGTCCCTTCCGGAGAAGTATGACGGCACTCCATTGAAATGCCGTGGCTTCCTACTCCAGTGCTCCCTGTTTTTCGCCTATCAGACGGGAGCCCCCACCACCGAGAGGTCCAAGGTTGCCACAGTAATTTCCCTGCTGACCGGACGGGCGTCGGAGTGGTCTACGGTCGTCTGGGAGAGGAGAGGAGGCGCTGGGTTCCTATGAGATGTTCATGGCTCTGTTCAGGGCGTTCTTCGACCATCCTCCATAGCAGAAGGTGAGCAACTTTTCCAACTGCAGCAGGGTGCCCAGAGTACGCCCTCACCTTTTGGACTATGGCAGCCTCCAGCTGATGGAATGAGCCGGCGCTCCGCGCTCTATTCCGCAGTGGACTGTGCGAAGAGGTCCAGACGGAGCTGGCATGTCGGGATGACAACCTATCCTTGGACGCTCTCATTGCGATGGCCATCCCTCTGGATAACCTTCTTCGGGAGCGCCGGTGTCTACTTGGCCACTCACCTCCCTCCTTTGGCTGTCCTGAGGCAGAGTCTGAACCCATGGAGGTAGGGGCCACACACCTCTCCGCAGCAGAGCGGCGTCGCCAGAGACAGCTGAGGCTCTGTTCCTATTGTGGCCAAAAGGGGCACCAGCTTCAGTGGGGTCCGGTGCGTTCCAGCCTGGGGTCCACTAGAGCAGAGGGGCAGACCCTTGACCTTCCGTCTCCCAGGGTAGGCATGAGTATTCCATTATCATTGTTCTCCGCCAAACCCTTTCTGGTTCCCATTTCACTGGCTGGCTGTCCCTCAAGTGTTTCTACAGCTCTAGTGGACTCCGGTGCCGCAGGGAACTTTATCGACCAGGCCCTCGCCTCCTCCCTGAACTTAACTTCATACCGCTCTCCTGTCCAAGCCCTGGATATGCGACCATTGGGATCCGGCACAATTACGCACGTCACAGCACCACTCACCCTCACCACTCACCCTCACCGTGGGACCCAAGCACCAGGAAAGCCTTACCTTCCTCATCACCGCACCCGTACACAAAGTAATCCTCGGCCTCCCGTGGCTCCAACTTCATAACCCCACCATCTCCTGGTCAAAGATGAGAATCACCACCTGGGGACCAGTATGCCGGAGGACCTGCTTTCCCGCACCCTGTGGTTCCACGTCGGTGGAGGGCCCTGTGAGTGTCCTCCAGCCCATCAATCGGTCCTCCCGTGTTTTGGGACGTAGATGTGGAAATCCGCCAGGCTCTGGAGAGGGAACCTGCTCCTGCCACCTGCCCTCCAGAGCGCATCTACGTCCCCACGGGGGTGAGAGATTGGCTGTTGACCTGGGCACACATCCCTCGCCGCTGGACACCCAGGTATCACCCGCACCATTCAATCCCTTTCCGATAAATACTGATGGCCCACTTTGGCGCAGGACGTCGCCCCACTATGTTAAGTCATGTTCGGTATGTACTCAATCCAAATGTTCCCGGAACGCTCCAGCAGGGACACTACTTCCCCCTTCCCGTGCCTCAGCCGCCTTGGTCACATATGTCCATAGACTTTGTAATGGATCTCCCCCTTTCTGATGGGTTTTACCACTATTCTGGTTGTTGTTGACAGATTCTCTAAATCCTGCCATTTTAAAAAATATATTTTTATCCCTCTCTCTGGTCTGCCTACCGCTCTCCAGGTCACTGAGGCACTAATCCAGCAGGTCTTCCGGCACTATGGCCTTCCGGAGGACATCGTTTCCGACCGTGGTCCCCAATTCACATCCCAGGTCTGGAAAGGCTTTATGGAGAAGCTGGGGGCCACAGTCAGCCTCACATCCGGGTACCGGCCTCCGTCTAACGGGCAGGTGGAGAAGACCAACAAGGAGCTGGGGAGGTTCCTAAAGAGTCACTGCCAGGACCGGCAGGGCGAGTGGGCCCGGTTCCTTCCCTGGGCGGAATACGTCCAGAACTCACTTCGTCACTCCTCCACCGGGCTGACTCCCTTCCAGTGCGTTCTGGGATATCAGCCGGCCCTGGCTCCGTGGACTCTGAGCCAGACAGAGGCACCTGCAGTGGAATAGTGGTTCCGGTGCGGAATGCCGCCCACGTGAGGCTCCAGCGCGCACTCCGCCGTCAGAAGAACCAGGCGGACCGCCACCGCAGTGAGGCTCCCGTGTTCCATCCTGGTGATCGTGTCTTGCTCTCCACCAGGAACCTCCCACTCAGCCTGCACTGCTGGAAGCTGAGCCCCCGGTTTGTGGGGCCCTTCAAGGTCCTCCGGAGGGTCAATGAGGTAACCTATCATTTAGCTTTCCCCACCAACTTCCGGATCTCACCCTCCTTTCATGTTTCCCTCCTCAGGCTGGTGGTTCCTGGTCCTCAGGACCGTACCCCTCCCAGTCCACCAGGTACTGGAGCCGACCCCCACGACGTCGGGAGTCCAGAAGGGATCTAACAGCACAGGCGGGGGTTCCCCTGATGCCGTCCTCCGCCTCCCCTGGACATCGAGGGGACCCCCGCCTGTTTTTGTATTTTCGTCATGTTGATTATTATTAAACTCACCTTCTGCACCTGCTTCCTGACTTTCTCCGTATACGTGATAACAATACACCAATCCAAGAAAGAAATTAAGAAATATCGGAACACGCAATGTCTGAGTCCGGAATATAAATATGTATATGGTGTGTACAGCAGTAGTTAATAGGATGAGCCTTAGCTAGAATAGTGTCTATATACTGAACAAAAATAGAAACGGAACATGTAAAGTGTTTCATGAGCTGAAATAAATAATGACGCCAGCACAGGACCTCCACATCTGGCTTCTTCACCTGTGGGATAGTCTGAGACCAATTTATTTATTTCAGCTCATGAAACACTTTACATGTTCCGTTTCTATTTTATTTATTTGACTGATTTCCTTATATGAACAGTAACTCTGTAAAATCTTT